ATATATACACACATATATATACACACACACATATATATACACACACACACACACATATATATATATATGTTATTAAATGTAGTCATTTAAATTGATTACCTTTTTGTGGTCTGCTTAGGAAATTACTACCTACTCCCAAAATCATGAAGACAATTACTTTTTTCTTTCAAATTACATCTACACTCTGTCCAGAAGGAGCAGGGTGTGAAATAGGGATCAGGACTCTTTCCCCTATGTAATCCAATGCAATCAATGAGATGTAGCATGCTGATTGTATTTCCTGATGAACGATAACTAAAGTGTTCTCAGCACTTGGTTGTATTCAAAGTAAGAGGAAATTTTCATACACTTTGTACCACAGTATATCATTTGGCTTGCTTCTGGCATGAGTTAAGCAGTTCTGTGTTTAGTTCAATGCTGTTAAGCTCTAATTAGTCTGTAATTCTAAGTGACGCCAGGTGCAAATATATTTTCAGACACAAATGCAGGTTCAAGTCCAGAAACCTTGTGATCCTTCCTGCTTTTCACATGATATAGTAATAATAACATAACTTCAGCTATGGGTCAGCTAATGATAGAGACTTACATACTGGCTCATTTAACCCCCCCCCCCCCCCCAACCAAATGGGATAATCCCAAACGGGCTGGGAGCAGAGCAGATGGGACTGCAGACAGAGTAGTTCTTTGTTTACAGGCACTGAGGGCTGATGAGTTGAAGAAAATATCTTGTGCAACACCAACATGGAAGGCTCATTTACAGATGATCAGACTAGGAAAAACCCTCAGAAACTTGCCCAAAGCCACAGGTATTGAGGGCAGAATCTCTGATATCAAATTTTAGACCACTTTGTTCATAAAAGTAACTTGACATTTAGATGTGTTTAACTTAAAGTTGGAGTTGTCGCTACACTATGAAGAATTTTGCAACCTGTTTCTGATTATAAAATTTCATAATATTAAGTTACTTAAACTGTGTTAAGAGTCATTTTACTATCCAGAGGGCTGAGACATTACTGACATAACTATTTGTCAATTATGATGCTTTTTGGTTTGGGTTAACATCTCGTTATCTACCAATCACACTATACACTTAACCACCTGTTAAGTGCTAAGAATGTAGCCCGCTGTTTCGCCCTCTGAAGGGGAGGGTACTTCTGTAAGTGCACAGAGAAACTAGGAGTACAACTCTTTTCTTAAATGTTCCTGAAAGTGTGGCTTGTAAGGTACTTTGTGATTCCTGACATCTTGAGATTCGTTGGAGTAAAATTCAACAAGCAACTGAAAGCTGCCGTGGCTGTTTACGTCCCAGCCTGTAGTTGAAGTACCTTTAATGGAAAGCATAAGGGAAAGTAAGTGCATTGTGTACACAAGCACAGTCACTAAGACAGCGCTGCCTACACTGAATACATTTCTAACCCCTAAAGAGCCACAGGCAGCAGAGGTATGTGTAAGTTATTTTGTGGAGGTGGTAAGTTAGTGCACTGAGAGAAAGGGGTACCTAACTACGCTAGCAAGTGAGGGCAGGGTTCCCGTAGATCCTGTAACGCAGGTGGGCTTTGGTTAAAATTCAACTTCTTGGTATTCCCTCAAAATACTGAACCAAAACTAAGGGGTAAGACCTCAGGGACTGAATTTCTAACAAGCTTCCTGAGAGGTCTGTGTATTGCATGTGCTCATGGCCCTACAGAGAGAGCAGGCAGAAATGCAAGAAAAGCTGTGTAGAGAGAATAGAGGGAGGGTACATCCTTTCAAAGAACCAAAAATAATTTATTAACTTCAACAGCTGAACTAAATCTCATCATGCTACTAAAAATACCCTAATTTGCAGACTATCTGACATTTTCAGCTGCCCTTGGCAAGGCGGCAGATGCTTCTGCTGGAAGCCCTGAAGGTCACACAGGCGGCCCTGGAGCCCATCCCTACTCTTCTGAAGTTGCCTGTTGCTGTGACTTGTTACTGGCTGCAGTCCACAGAGGCCAAGGCAAAGCTCCACCACCTGCAGGCCTTACTGCTGGGGATGCTGAGGGCGCCCTTGCTTGCCATTGTCAACAGCCATGGTAGGTTCTAGAAATCCAGGAATGTTTTGCCAAGTTGTATATGAACTGCACATCCTCAAGAATTCACACAAACAAAAACCCCCGTTACAACAGAACTAGAAGTGAAGGTGCCAAAATGCCCTTTGTTGGCAAAGATTAATAGTTTCATGTGCTGAACTCGGGGCCAGGATATTGGCGCCAGGTTTAGAGCTGGGACATGCTAGTACCACCTAACTCTGCCTGCTCTGAGGTACTGGACACTTCAGTCTGTGAAGCACGCCGGTGCTTTGCCAGTAGTGCTCTGTATTGCATTCTGCTGTCCCATCACCAACACAGCAGCGGCAGCTCAAGAAACTTACATGCACTCTCCCAGAGGTGACACTTCTCGGTATTTCCATCCAGAAGCATTCCTGCCCACATTGGTTTCTATCCTTCTTTAAGGCTATATTGTTTCGATTAATATGTAAGTAATAATAGAAAACATAAAAACTTGTTTCTACTAGAGAAATAACCTGGGTAATTTGTCTGCATTTAAATATTGGGTAAAATAAATGAAGCACTAGAGCATTTTAGTTCTTTAATGCAACTTTCTCCTTAAAAGAAAGACTATGAATGCCATAAAGCTGTCATTGTGTTAACAGTTCTAACATGATAGCTGTTAGCCACAGCTACAAATGACTATTTAAAGTTAAGGTCAAAGAGAAAACTGAGCTTTTTGTAGTAGTCATATTTCAAGCACTTGGCAGCGTAGTGTAGACATGTAAAACTGTGTGTACAGAGACAAAACATTCTCATCATGCCAAGAGTACAGACATCGTCCTACCCCAGTGTATTCTGTGAGTTTAAGAATGAAACAGCATGGACTGAGAACATCCCAAATATTCCGCCTTGCCTGATAGTAGCCTTCAGAGGGACCACAAAAAGGAGTCAGGCCCACAGCTTTAAGAACAGTTTGAAGCTATGTTCTGTTTAAATAAATACAGAAATTCCCTTAGCATGAGCCTATTAAGATTTTTGTGTGAATCCTATAGAAGGGGCATGTCTGTGTTTTCTTTTAGGAAATGTGGACCCCGCACCCAGGCAGGCTCAGTGCCTTGCTTCCCGCTAATTGTGAAAGGTGGGCCTCCTTTTTTATTACTTTCAAGTTGGTCCCAATGTTCTTTTATGCCCCTCTGCTCAACCAGGCCCACAGAAGCTGCATCTCAAGTTATTGCTTCTTGCCCCTTCTCTTATGTAAAGAAGGAGCGTATTAGTCAGATTATTCATACTCTAGTTTTCCTCCTGAGCCTATGAGCTGTCTTTAAACCAGTGTGCTACCCCAAGGGGCTTTGGTGAATGAAAGGAATGAGCAGTAAAGACAGTGAAGAGGATGCTGTTTAATGACGTATTTTTGTAGACACAAATCCTAGAGAATTTACATGTGGACTTGTTTAAGGTCGGGTAGCAGACTGTACAAGATTTAATTTCAAGGAAAATAGTTTGGGGTTGAATAAGTCATCAAGAAAAGGGACCTTCTATGTAAATAAGGCATTTTTGAAACCAGAAGAGAAAAACAACTAGTTTACAAACTAATAGTCTTTGTGGGCCTCGACATTAGTACGTAGGGAAAGTGCAAACTGATGCAGTGTTTTTGCAAATGGTGCCTTTGGGTTGTTTATCTAGGTAAGGAAGATCCACGGGTACATGGTGCCAAGATGTTATATGAAGAATTACAACAGGTGAAGGTGCCCATGCGGCCAGGTACAAGATTGGATTTAGACACAGCTCACGTCTTCTGTCAGTGGCAATCCTGTCTCCAGATGGGCTTGTATCTCAACCAGCTGCTCTCTGCTCCTCTTCCAGAGCCAGACCTAACTCGGTAAGTACCATGGGTACACACAAAGATTTTAAGCAAAGTTTAAAGATTAAAACAAGTTGCTTTGAAAACAATGTTATTATACTCTATCTCAGAATACCGCTTTTACTGAAACTCAAAAATGGGAAACATTTCCAGTTTCCATTGTAGCTACTTTTTCAGTTAGTTGTTAGTAGGGTATAACTAACAACCTCAATTCTTTTGGGTGAGTTATTACTTAATAAGAACTTTTTCTGCCACTCTAACCCTAGGTACATCTTGTTACTGGTATATATGTTTTTTTCTTACCATTTGGCATTCGCTCATAGTTTTTAAATGCCTACTCTATGATAGGGTGCAGTAAGTAAAAACAAAATCTCTATTCTCTTGGAGCTTTCTCTGGGGATTTTTTCTTGTCAGACAGTATAGGAAGAAGGGAGCTGAGCCTATATACCAGAGTTGTTAACTCTGGTATTTAAGCTGAGTGGGACAGATGTGGACCCATGGAAACGTGATCTTTACTAAGATCGGTTAAGCATCTAGGTAATTGTCCATCCAGGAAGTATTAGAAGAAAAGTAAGATTCAAGAAGGCAATGGCTAGAAAGTAGAATTTGAGGTTGTATATATGCTTCATCTCTATCCCATGAATACTCTTCAAGGACAAGATCAAGCTTGACATATGGCACCATAAAGTTTGGCAATAGAAGGGTGACTTGCTTGGTGTTTTTGTGATTTTGGTTTTTTTCTTCTGTTTTGGGGTGTGTGTGTTACTAGAGACTAAACCAGGGCCTTGTGGATGTCAGACAAGCACTCTACCACTGAGCTATAAAACCAGTCCTAGTTTTGTTAATGTATCTCTGGACCTCATATCTGAGCTAACACAAAAACCTTCCACCAAGACTGATAGCTAACACAAAAACCTTCCACCAAGACTGATAAACAGGCCTTTGATCTTTGGGCTGTTTTTTTTCTTTTTCTTTCTTTGATACTTTGTTCTTTCCCCTCCCCCCTCAAAGAAAGAAGTTTTATTTTGTTTTGGCTCATAGTTTGAGGATACAGTCCTTCATGATGGGGAAGGCGTGGCAAACCGGAGCTTTAGGCAGCTGATACTCAAGTCAGGAAGCAGAACGAGATGAGTATTGGTGTTTAGCCTCTCTCCTTTTATTAAACCAGTGGCCCCAGTCTATGGGAGTGGAGATGCCTATAGTTTGGGCGAATCTTCCATCCTCGATTAAACCTTCTTGGAAACTCTCATTGACACATCCAGAGGTGTGTTTCCATGGTGATTCTAAATCCCATTGAGTTGACAATTAAGATTAACCATCACACACAGTATCTTTAGACTGAGACCTGAAAAAGATAAGCAAACCTTCTGAATCCAAACTCTATTTCATTGCAGCTTTGAGATTCTAATCCCAATACATCTAAGACTAACCAATGTCCTTAATAACCTCCTTCTGATGTTTAAGAAAAAAAAAGTATGTTGGTTCTTACAAAATGAGCTGTTTCTTGTTCTCGAGTTTTTCTTCCTCTGCTGCTTAACTTCCTTAGTTATGTGAGGCACAGCTAAGTACAGTGCCAGATACACCACCAGTCCTTTGGTTTCCCCTTTCGCCTGTGTTAACAGGCTCCCTCTGGGAACCACATGCCACAGTTCCCTTCACAACAAAATAGGAGGAACAAAAGCACTTGTGTTTTTTCTAATATGTTTTCTGTGGGATGACTGCTACATCTCAGCCTAATCAAGAATTCTCAAATGTTGATTTCATACTCATTAAATGAGGGCTCAACACTGTTAGCCAAAATATACCGGGTTGGCCAGCTCTGGTCATGAGTCATATTAAATTTAGAGGTTCCAGTTAATCTAATTTTGTATTTGTTTATTGGGGTTTTTATCCAAATGAATGACCATACAAATGATACCATTGCAATTTTTTGATACTGTAATAATAGCCTACTGTTTTGGTTTTCCAAGGCCACTTTACGAAATTCCTTTTCTTTGAAATGTTAAAGATGCCTGCTCAGCTCCAGGCTAGCATCATCGCAAGGTTTAATGTCACCAGCCAAAGTATTCATTTTAGCCACTCAGTTCCAGTAAGTAATGTTAATGGTTATATAGGAGCAGCAAGCAGTGTTTAGATATTTTTATTGAGAATGTTCATTGCACTGAACTGATGCTTTCAAACCATGTCGTCACCCACTGACAGATTGTACAATGGAAGTCTGGTACATGGGCTCTGCCAGCGACTGCCAGCATCTACGTCTGCAGACAGTCTCCTGAGCATGTGTCCTGAGGCAAAGCAGCTTTATGAATGTCTCTTCAGTACCACAAGCTCATGTGCCCCAGCTGAATTATTTCTACCAAAGGCTAAGTCGAACTCAAAAAGCAGGAGGCGGAAGAAAAAGGTTGCCAGCCTGCAAACTACTTCAGACGCCAAGCCCTGGCATGACAGGAGCAATCGATTTGGGCTGTTAATGGTTGAAAGCCTGGAGGAGCATGTAGAGAACTCAGAGCTTGAATAAACACTCTGTAGTACACGAGTAGTTCTAACTTTAAAATTTTTCTTTTACCTCCCTTGAAACTAATTTTTCTTTAGGACTAACCTATTATGGAATAAATCTTATAAGAGATCATCTGAATTCTAAGGTATTTTCTACTGTACTTTCAATACAGCCTGACCTGAGAAATGTCTCTCATTTGTTTACTTGTGCATTGGATGCGGGAACCATGGTGCTTATGTGGAAGTCGGGGAACAACTTGGGAGATCAAACTCGGCTTAGAAGCAACTATCTTTACCTCCTGAGCCATCACTTGCCCAGAAACACCTATACTTAAGCATGCTTCCACTCCTCATGGTCCTTTTCAGCAAATAGTAATATTTTATAATTGTTAAGTTGCAATAGCTTAGCCAACGATATTCATAAGAATAGAAATCCTACATAGTAATTAATTTCCCAGAAATCAGGCGGCTGAGGCAGGAAGATTGAAGGTTTGAGGCCATCTTGGGCAATATTTTGAGATTTTTCTCAAAAATCCAAAATGGTTGAGGTGCTATTCTAAAATTACTACTACTGACAGTAGTAATTTTGTACAAGTGCTGGCTAGTTCCCAAGCTCAAGCAAATAAGCAAGTGGGAGGGGTACACTGGAGCAAGTGTCCAAGTACAGTCTAACTGCTCAGCTGTGGTTCCTCCTCTGTTGTCCCACGGGTACATCCCGTCACCAATAATCTTAACAATGGCTGTGAGTTGCCAGTTTGAACCAGCCCATCTCTCGTTCTTAACAGCTGACAATTCTCTACACTAGGTAGCCAGACACACTTAGAAAATAAACTGGGAATCAACCAGCAAGTATATCCTCGCATGCCTTCAATGTTTCCAAAAATAATGCATGTTGTTTGCTCCTCCACTATTCCATCCTACACACTAGCTTAGTTTCCATTTCAGATATGAGGTCCATTATTTTAGGAGAGCATTGTACTCCTTAGTGGGGTTGCTTTGGTACCTCCAGAGACTGATTTTACTAACAGGATCAAGAACAGAACCGTCCTGTGCATCCATGTTTGAGCAGAAACATCCATGGCCCACAAACAGTAGGTCTAATGTGCACTATGTTACACCAAAGTGTTACCTTCCTTGGTCCTTGGACATAATGTACAAAGTGTGCCAGTGTGAACGTGCCATTCCCTGGCTTACCAACACCACTTTTCAAAACTGCTGCAAACCTTGTGGTATATCTCTAATTTTGGCAACCGGCTTAACAGATCAAGATGGAATGTATGGGCTACAGAGTTTAATTGAAAATCGTATGAATAATACTAGTTGGCTTTTTCTTTCATTAACATGGTTGTCACGTCTAGTCTCAGCACTCAGAAGGAAGGTTACGGAGGGAAGGTTGTGAGCCAGCTTGTACTATAGCATGCATTTGGCTGGCCTGTGCTACTTTTAAGAAAAGTAGAGTTCCTACTAAACACCATTCTTTTGGCTTTCCTTCTCTAACTATTGATTCAGATGGGCAAGTCCCTTGAAATCAACCCATGCAGTAAAGGAAACAGCAACCAGTAGTGTCCATGCTCTCTTGTTCCTTGTGAGAATCAAATACTTTGCCTACCCAGGTATATAATTGTGTATCGGAAGACAGGCCACAGGCACCCCACAGTATCTAGCAGGCTTCACCAGACAGTAACGACATAGTTCCTGACTCCCAAGAGCCATGCTTGCTTAAACTGCTTGGGAAAATGCACACAATGAAAGAATGAGAACACTTTACCAAGTTGGCCACGTACAGACCAGACTTGACTGCTGTGTACTGACACACAAGTCACCAAGAGGCAACGCTGAATCTGAGTTAGATTCACTAAATGAGACTTTGGGCCTGGCCTTTCTTTTCCTCCCTTTTCTGTTTTCTTTTGTTTGGCCTTTTAAGAAGCAGAAAGATGCACACGGTATATACTCACTTATAAGTGGATACTAGAATTATAAGATGGGATAAACATACTAAAATCTGTACACCTAAAGAAGCTAAACAAGAAGGACCCGGGGTAAGACAATCCTTATTCAGAAAGACAAATGGCATGGACACTGGAAGTAGAAGAAAACGAAAAGCAGGACAGGAGCCTACCACAGAGGGCCTCGGAAAGACTCTACCTGGCAGTCTATCAAAGCAGATGCTGAGACTCAATGGCCAAACTTTGGACAGAGTACAGGGAATCATATGAAAGAAGAGGGAGTTAATAAGACCAGGAGAGGACAGGAACTCCACAAGGACCAAATATATCTGGGCACAGGGGCTTGTCTGAGACTGTTTCTCCAAACAAGGACCATGCATAGATATAACCTAGAACCCCTGCTCGGATACAGCCCAAAGCAGCTCAGTATCTAAATGGCTTCCCTAGTAAAGGGGAACAGGGACTGTCTCTGGCATGAACTCTGTGGCTAGCTCTTTGACCTCCCCAACCCCCGTGGGAGGAGCAGCCTAGCTAGGCCACAGAGGAGGACATTGCAGCCAGTCCTGGTGAGACCTGATAAGCTAGGGTCAGATAGAAGGGAGAAGGACCTCCCCTATCAATCAGTGTACTTAAGAGAGGGGAAGGGAGGAGATGAGGGAGGGAGGGTGGAATTGGGAGGGAATAAGGGAGTGAGCTATTAATATAAAAAATAAAAATGTAATTTAAAAAATTTTAAAAAGATTTTTTAAAAAATTAGGTGTAAGAGGCAATGAGAATAGGTGTAAGAGGCAGAATGTGGTGTGTTCCATATTTCCAAAATCTAGTTTCCTGTGTTTTCAGTCAAGTTGTACTCTTTAAACTTGGTTCTAACAAATGAAATCTCACCTGAAGCTTTGGACACGTCAATTTTCAGTTAGCAGTTCAAAGAAACAAATGGAGTGCTAGACAGCTAAGAATCTTGGGGTAAAGCTAGAGGGAAAAAAAAACCATCTACTGTAATAGAATTGCAGCCTGTATTTAGTGGTGGTAAAATTATACTTTATATGTACGTATTTTGTGCAAGTTCTTTTCAGTAACCAAGATCTTGAAAGTTTATTCATATGTAAATATGACCTGTGACAAATTCTAGGCCAGTTGGTCATTAAAAAAAAAGGGCTCAAGTGGACCCTACTATTTCAACTTGAATTCCTGATTTAAATTATTGTAATTTTAGAAGACAAAGACCTTTATTGCCTAAGTGGCCTTACCGTTCCCTCCTCTGTACATAAAAGCAAACGATGACTACATCTCAGCTGTCCTACTGTAAAATAAAATTGCTGGACTCCAAAATACTGCACAAAGTCAAAATAATGTACCTGCAGGCATTTAGTACCTGTCCTAAATAAGCCATGCCTGGCAGTAAAATGTGGTAAATAGCCATTACTGTTACATCTGTACATTAAAAGGAAGAGCAAAGCAAGGAACGAAGGGTGAATATCAAGCAGTAGAAAAGATAACCTAGTGCTCAAAGGGTGAAGACAAGTAGATCGTGGAGGTTAGCCAGTGAACTCTAGGCTCAGTCAAAGAAGCTGTGTAAAAACACAGGGTGGAGCAGGATGGAGGAAGACAACACCCGCTGTCAACCTCTGGCCTCAGCGTAAACACAGCCCACCACATAAGCAAGTGCAAAGCCAGGAAGAGCGTGTGCATTTGCCAAGTCAGGGATGGGAAGCTACAGTTAGGCAGACCCCTGGGTTCACTAGTTGTCCATTCTAGCCTACTGAGTGGCTCCAAGTCTGTGAGGGCCCCAGTCAGACGTGAGGAAAGACAGCTGCTGATGACCTCTGGCCTCCACATGAACACACACCTGTGAGTGTGTCACACGCACAGAAGAAAAGGGATTAAACTGACTCTACTATAAGGATAACCTGTTTTGTAAAGAACTAATGAGGAGCCAAGCATGCCAGTAAGAATAAGTTTAACAATTTTACCTTAGAAATGATAAAAATCATATGAACACATTTTGTTGTAGAGTGTTGTATGAAGACGAGATAAGACTTGGCTGTCAGGCTGTTTTGATTTCTACTATTGAAATTTGTCTTTTCTAAGCTAAATAAGTTTTAGCTTGCTCAAATTAAGCCTCATTCTCTGGGAAATTGGCATTTCTCTTGTGCACCGAAGAGGGTGGGAGAAAGCAGATGATGGATGAGATAGGAGCAGCTACTACATGAGATGGATAAAAACTTGGATGGAAGCCTGTAATCCCAACACTCCGGAGGAAGAGGCAGGTGGATCTTTTGAGTTCGAGGCCAGCCTAGTCTACAAAGCAAGTCCAGGACAGCCAGGGCTACACTGAGATACCCTGTTTTAAAAGAAAAGTGGAGTGGGGATGGGGTAATGTGCTGGATCAAGAAAGTGGGAGGAGAGGGAGGAAATATATGAAGAAAGACTAGAAGCACAAGTGTAGTGAGAATCCTGGAATTTTGGTTTCTTTAAAAAACCCAAAAATATAAGAATATTTTCATTTTAATCCAGGTGTGGGGATATTGAGCTACTCTGCAGCAACTGTATGATTTGTCTCATCTAACTGTATGATTTGTCTCCTGCTCTGGGGAGGTCGCAATTTTGCCAGCTGCAGACAGTTTCTGCCATTGTGTGACATTTGGAATTTGGGTAACTTTTCAGAGGGTATATAAATTCTAGAGCCCTTATAGGCAAGGTAGCTTGTTGGCTGGGTGTTGATGGATCTTGGTTGCAGTTTAAGTAGTCATGTACATAGAAGAAACAAGAAATTAGGTATCCTGATGGCGAAGACCAAACTTGCCCCAAGGAGCACTACACCCCTAACCAGCAGGAAGTAGGCTAGCGATAATGTCATCCCCTTTCCAACCCCTGACTGTATTTGGGAATCTCTTTCCTCTCTATCTTTTTTTTTTTCCTGTCATGTTTAGTGTTAAGGGGCTGAAAGAGAAAAGGGGAGGAGGAGGGTGGAAGAACTCACAAAGTAGCTGCCAGCCATACTCGGGAGCAATGGTAAGCATCTAAAACACTCCACCCACTGTAAGAACAAGACAGCTGACAGCTGGCATATCTTGCTGATGACCTGAGACCAGGCTGAGATACACTTTCTCTACCCAAAAACTTGACACTCAGACTGACACTGAATCTGCTATAGAACCGCATCTTAGAAATGGGAGTTTGCATAGCAGAGAAAACTGGTTCCGCTTACTTGCCAATGGGTGAAATATACATACCTATTTTTCCTCTTGACATTTAAATTGGTAAGCAAGCATTTTCTATAAAGGACCAAATGTTATTTTAATTTTTTATTATTTTAAACTTTATTATATGGGTGTTATTCCTGCATGTATGTCTGTGACTGGTGTCTTTGGTAGCCAAAAGAGTGTAAGATCCCCAGAACTGGTTGGTTGCACATTGCCTGGTAAGTGCTTGGACAGTTCCTGTCTTGGGTCCTCTGAAGAGCACAGTACTCTTATCCACTGGACCACCTCCCCAGCTCTGGTGTTTTGAGCCTTGCATAAAAACAATAGCAATCAATATGTAAATGTATGTAACTGTTCCAAGAAACCATTAAAAAAAACAAACAAACAGGTAGCATGCAGCTCCAGCCAAAACACCATCACTTGTCAGCTTCTCAGTAACAGCTCCACATGAGTGAGGCCATACAGGGGATTAAAAGAAATAATTTAACATCCATACCTACAGCTAATTTTTGGGCTTTCCAGACCAGTGCCACCTGAAAAGATAATTGTGAAATATAATGGAATCCTACTACACAACTAGACAGATGGCTATGAGGAGAGCTGCATCAAAACACACTAGTATGTAACTTCCTCAGGTTCATCTAAGCATGAGATGCAGTTTCTCGTCTTCCCTACATACATTCTTTACACAATCAGCTATGTTATGTAATACAAACTTGTTCTATACTGCTTCACGGATAATGTTCTGTAAGCCTTGTACACCAGCCTCTTTCATATTATGGCTGTAAGATGCAGACCTGACAAACAGGAGCTAACTGACCATAAGATGGCACCAAAATGCCACTTCTCAGCTAATACGCACTTCAGTATGCTTAAAACAGGAAAACTTTATATATGTATTTCTAAAGTATTTTAAAAGCTGTAAGAAAGCACATTTTGTCAGATTTAAAGACATAAAGAAACCACCTCAAAACAAATCTTTTCATCAAATCTAACCATTTGTCCAATTTCTGCTCAGAGACATTGGGATATGTGCTTTCTGTAGAAAGCATTATCAAGAGGAAGAAATGCAACTAATACTTCTAAAATAAACTGAGTGTGGTGGTACATGCTTTCATCCCAACACTCAGGAGGAGCCAGAGGCAAGGGGGTCCCTGAGTTCGAGACCAGCCTGGTCTATAGAGTAAGTTCCGGGACAGCCAGGGCTACACAGAAAAACCCTGTCTCAAAAAGCAACCCCCACCAAAAAAAAAAAAAAAAAAAAAAAAGGAAGAATATTTTAATTCTGATGGGCCTAACAGCTACAGAGCCATCACAGAAATGTAAGCTACAGAGGATTTTGTCAGTTTGGCTAGAATGGAGCAAAAGGGTAACAAACAAGAAAAGATGACCAAGGACAGTCCTACTACAACTACCACTCTGAGTACACTCATGTACTCTACACAAGAACACTGACAGGCTCAGAGTCATGCAAACAAACACCACGGAAGAAGGAAAGCTAAGATTCACAATGTTTTCAATTTTCTCCTCACACTTGATCCTATGATTCAATCTTGAATAAAAGTTCTTTTGCCTAACTTCTGCCTAGATTTATAAACAGTGACTTGAATTTCTAACATTTTTCTAAAGATGAAACCTTACATTTCCCCCTCAAATTTATAGCAGTGTTTTCCCTTGACAACCTGTACGGTACAGCAACAGAACCATCACACACATACACCCCTTCCTCTTTCAAGGCATCTGAAGCCATCTTAAGCTGGTCTCTGCTTTAAATACAGGTGAGATCTGTGATTCTCAAAACTAAGGTTAATGAATACTGTCCCCAAAACTGGACATAGTGCTCCAGTCCTGTATGAAAGGAGGCAAGTGGGGCCTCGGCTAGAACAGGAAGCAGAGCTCTCTACTTCTACAACTCTTCATCAAGCATGCTGTTGTCTAGTTTCGTACCATTTGCCCATCACACAGCACACTTTAAACTATAGTGCTCTCAGATTCATAGACACATTCATTCTCTCTCCCTTACCTACTAAGAGAATCCAACTACAAATACTAGAGGTTCCTCCAATGGTTCAGACCAACATTTCCATTTTAATAAAAGACTCCATTTGCATGCTCTGTAGCAAAGGAGACTACAAGGTTCCTACTGCTGCCTTTGTAATGTATCCCCGTTTGCTGATTGTTAACTCCGTCAAACGTTTTAAAGAATCGTGTTCTGTCAAGATGAGCTTTCTTACATTTATTTATTACTTGTACATGCTCATGTATATGAGCACAGGCGGTGTGGTGCATGCAAGGAGCTAAGAAAACATCCTGTGAAAGTCAGTTCTCTCCATCATGTGGGCTCTGGGGCTTGAACTCAGACCCTTCCGGATTAGTGGCAAGCTCCTTTAACCACTCTACTCATTTTATTAATTTGTTTTTGTCAACCTCAAAGATACCATGAGCTTCTCATTTCAAAAAGCCTGTGTCCCACTAAGGCCTACTGTCTCAACAGCTCAAAAGCATCTCTTCCAGCATGCCACAGTTCAACAGCTCTGCCTTCACCACCTCCAGCCTAACTATTCAGCTCTTCACAGTACACTTGCCACCCAAATAACAGAAATTCTGTTGGTCTCATGTTTCTTCTACTCCGCACCAAGCCTTCTGTGGATACTCAACTGTTCAGGTGCAAAAGTCCACTGCCTTTTGGCTAGAACTTCCCCGTCAAAGGAATTGGTAATATGCCACTATTCCTAGGAAGTTTTTTTGTTTGTTTATTTCTTTTTTGTTTGTTTGTTGGCAACTGTCTCCCACAAAATTGTAATACTTTAGACAGTGTATTTCACACTGTCTCTAGAGTAACCTGAAGCTCCTAAAGTAAGATAGTATTTATAAACCTAACACTGCCACAATGTTTACAGAAAATTATGTCTGCTACATGAGCATATTATCCATTATCAGCAATAGCCAACTCTGACAAGTACAAGCAAAACCATCACACCAAAGTCTAATTGAACTCAACAGTCATATCAAATGCCAGCTAAGCTCACCACAAAAGCTTGTTCAGCCACAGACCTGTGGCATTAATATTTTATATCCTCATATGTTAGTGCATACACACCACTCACAATTTAGATTACAGAGCTTAGTCTGAAAAACCACTTCAAACATTTTCAAATGCCAAAGTGAACTGTGTGCTGTATTTATTTTGATGTATATATACTTTTAAAATAAATGTACAAAGATCACTATTGACATTGATAAAAAATAGCTTTAAGTTTTCTCATCTGCTTTTCCTGTCCAAGAAGTATTGAAGGGCAAGAATGTCATTGTGTTCCTAGTACGCTCAGGTACTAAATTAAATGAAAATATAATCAATTCATCTCACTTCTTCGATGAGTCATTCAAGCCAAACACACTGCACAAAAATTGCCAAGCAACAAAGGCTGAAAGCAGTATGATGCTAATTAATTCATAAATGAAATGGTTACTGTTGCTACCAATTCATTTCTGTGAGAAACTATTTTAAGTGTGGAAAAAACTCAACTTACTTAAGATCTACATCAGAGAGATCCCAAATTACAGCAACTTCAGAAAGATTACCATTGTATCAGATGTATGGTGAGTGACTGTAAAATGTAAAAACAACATGTCTTGTCCTCATGCAGGTCCTTTATGCGGCTGAAAAAATCCCATATCCTAGAGGGTGGGGCTCCTCAGGTTGTATAACCTCACTGTTACTTCCCTCGGGATCTCCCAGTGCCCAGCACAGCATACCTGTGCCTTTAGCTTTTAGCATTTGAGTTATCTACCTAACTGGTGAATTATTTCAAGGTCATCCCTTCTTTGATGTTTAGCTACTATGCAACTAAATAACTTAAAGAAGTAGTCCTACTGGGAGGGAGGGAAAAAAAAAAAAATCAAAGGAACAGCCAGGGACAAGTCCTAGGACCGAGTGAAAATTAAAGTTAGATGCAAGCACAACTAAATGATCCATGCTGATTTGGACTGATACAATGTATAAAGTTGAAATCTGGATCTGTACTGCACATTGTTTTCAAAACTACAAAACTTTCTGTATCTTTCAGCATCTACAGATATAATTTTAATATTAACAACACTAACTGGAAAGTCATTAGTGAACTTATGAAAAAAATCATTTTATTTTTATAGTTCAAAAACGAAGAGAAAAGATAGGCACATTCATTTCATGAGTCATATTCTCAACCTATAATGTAAAACAAAGAAGACTGGATATGCACTTAATATGTATTTTCAAGTCTGTAACAGAATGTAAAAACCATTATAAAATTTAGCTATGAGACATCAAACCTTTAAGAGTTGATCAGACAATGATTTCATGTTCCACCTAACCAGACAGAACAATGTACACTTGACAGTGCAGACATTCTGGCTCCTTATGCTCATGCTTCAGTAGTAAAGACTCAAACAACAGAATTCTCCTATCAATGACAGCACATCAGTGTTAACATTCACCATTAATATTGAACAAGGCTAGGAACAGTTTATCTGACAGCTTATGAAATACAAAACTCAACACTTACCTTTACTTTGTCAAGCTTTTATAAAAAACTGATGGTATTACACAAAGCAAATCATCTATTTCCCAAGCATGCCCAATGAAATAGAAGGCAGAGCACAAATGAATGGTAGAAGGGACAGACGCAGGGTTGTGCTACACTCTAGGCCAAAGCAGCTGCCTAGAAGATTCAGAGGACCAAGGCCAGCACAGGATCTTTCAATATACACCCTGGTTCATATGCTATCTCTGAGTTTGGGACCTTTTTATTTTGTAAGTTCAATAGTCTATACTCGCTAAGAAATAGGTTTAAAAATACACATATGAAACAGTACTAAAGGACAGTTATTCAGCTGAAGTGTTTGATTTATAAGCAAGGAATGACAAGATGATACTGACAAAGTATATTTGTATTAAACTAAGATAAACACAAAGACATATTAATATAATCTGTTATAAATTCCAACCGAGTCTTAACTTTTTTTTGACTCTATGACTGTGCATTAAGTACAATTACTTTAACTGCAATACCAATGACAGCCATGAAACAATTCTGTTAGACCAAAGACTCATACCTCTATGAAAAACAGAACAACTACAAAAAAACAACCATTTACACTTAATAAGAAGAGCAAACATTTACTTCAATTGCAGTATATGCTTTTCAGTCACAAAAAGAAAGAACAGTGATCAGACAGTGGTTGCATCCTGTGCAAAACAAAACAAAACAAAACAAAACAAAAACCTTAAAATACAAAAATGGTAACACAAGGTGTCAGTCTGCTTAGGTTGCAGGAAAAAGGAAACAGTAACTGAAATATGGCACTCCTGGCAATTTATAAACCAAATAGAATGCCTTTGAAATGATTAAATTTATTTGTGTATTAGTAAGAAAGCCCCACCACCATAAATAGTACAATATTTAAAAATAAAAAAAAATATTTATATCCATCTAAGACAGATAGTGTATTTGTACATTAGAGCTCTTTAAGTGCAGAAGGTGGTTCAGGTTTTGCCTTTTGTATTTTTTAGTTCAGTACTTGCCCATATGTTTATAAAGTTCCACTCAATTGAAAAAGCCAATTCAAATCAAGGAAGGTGTTATCAAAGTTGCATAATTTCACTTGGGACTACCAACAGGTTAAAGGTTCAAATCAAGTCTTTAACATTAATATTCATTTTTAGTCAATGGAAAGTTAAAAAGTCCTTAAATCTTCATTATCTTCTTGAACTTGCCCTTCTAAATGATTCTCAGACTGCAATTCCTAGTTTGCAAATTAAAAAAAAAAAAAATGCAATATGCATCATACTTCAAGAAAAGACGATGATGTCGAACTAGCATTCTTCTGGATCTTTTCCCTGCTTCTTTCAACCTTCTTTATAATTTCAGACACAATGCACACTGACGAGGTAAGACCCAAAAGAAACAGCAGATCTGCAAGGAAAAATAAACTGAGTTTTACAATTCTTTGAAATGCACAGCAGTAGATGACACTGTGCCAGAAGTATTTCATGAGGTAGAGATCATAAGCATAAATTTAAAATGTTGAAACTGAGGGAGAACAAGGTAGCTTATACATAAAAAGTCTTGCTGGGCAAGTTCAATCCCAGAACTCACAGTGGAAGGTTAAAAGCAAAAGGTTAAAAGATCTGAAAGCTGTCCAGACCTCTGTACATGTGCTGTGGCACAAGTGTCTGTACACACATACAAACACACACTAATAACACTTTAAAAATCTGTATGAAAGGGAAACTGCAAATAACTTGCCCAAAGTCACACAGCTGAGAGAGAAGTCAGAACTAGAACCCAAATTCTCTGATGACATTCCCTGAATCCTAAGATCATGTGACTAACTTTTAATAGTAACACCAAGGTTGGTTTCCTATTTGATGGATCTCAAGTGCAAAGCACTATTCAAGAGGCAGACAGATCTCTGTGAGTTCAAGGCCAGCCTGGTCTACACAGCAAGTCCAGGACAGCCAAAGCTACACAGAGAAACCCTGTCTCGAAAAACCACAAAGAAGTATTAACAGGACATCTGGCTCAAAGTGCCTTTCTAGTGATTGTTAAGTTTTGCACGTTACATTTCCAAGCCTACAAGACTGTCTTTTAATAGTATTCACACTATCTCTACTTTTACTTATCTTTTTTAAGATTTATTTATTTATTAACTTTACAGTATTCTGCCTACATGTGTGCCTGAACGCCAGAAAAGGACACCAGAGCTCATTCATTATAGATGGTTGTAAGCCACCATGTGGTTGCTAGGGAGTGAACTCAGGACCTTTGGAAGAACAGCTCTTAACCTCTGAGCCATCTCTCCAGCCTGTACTGTTATTTACTGCTTAAAAAATCTGGAGCTGTTTTTTAATTTTAATTTTTAAAAAGTGGAAGCAATGTGAATATAGAATTTAAAATATTAAAATTAAACTAGCTCAGATTTCAAAGTAAACTGCAACTTATACCAAAAACATATCAGAGACTATAAAACTCACTTCATAAATATACCAATTAACATACATATATATGTGTGTGTGTATATATATATATTATGAACTACAATTAACCTACAACAGGTTTTCTGAGCTTCTGTATTTCAAAATCATAAAATATGACTTTATAACAACTGATAACATACAGAATGGGGAGGGTCAAATAAATGAAAACAAGTTTTCCTAGAATATCCTAAAATGAAAATTTTAAAGTCCTTTTGTTATGAGTCCTGACAGTTATTTTTTATTTCCTATTTTAAAACAGCTTTTCGTTACAACAAACACATTAAAAAATACAACAACTATTAATGGCACATAGACAGTATTTTCTTTACCCAGTATACTTAGGCTTTCGGTCTGAAAAACCTTCTGAAGTGGAGGAAAGTAAATAACAAGTAACTGTCCCATGATGGATCCAAGAACTGCATAGCAAAACATCTTATTACTGCAGAGTCCAATCTCAAACACAGACTTGGTCTGTTGGTGAAACAGAGAGTTCTAATTATTCCACCCTGCTCATAGAAAGAACATCATGATTATACTTGGTCCAATTTTGAATAATTCTATCAAGCTAACACCACAAAATGTCCTAACTTTATTATTTTTGTAGCACTCTCATTTATCAAGAAAAAGTTTGGGGTGGATGCAAAGATTGTAAGAGCCAAAAGTACAGGATATCTGTAGCAGAACAGCATCTGTTGGTGTGACAGGGCTGCTGCACATGTCAGGGATTGCACATAAGCACACACAAGCAGCTGTGACTGCATGCATAAAACTACAAGACCCAGTTAAACCTGGGCTGGACAGAAAAGATCATGAAGTCCCAACCCTAGCTGGGAAGCTGCTGGCGACTGATGGCTGCTGAGGGAGAGAGAGTAAGTCTCTTCATAGGTATGGCCCCTGAGAAACTAGCCGTGCTCAAGTAAGATGGTCGTGCAGCCATGCATATATGAGCAACATTAAGCAGACTCACTGAGTTTAAAAACAAGAGAGCAAGTGAAGTGGGGAAGGAGGCAAGAAGGGAAAAATTGAGGGGAGAGGAGAGGCAGATAGGAGCAAAACATATGTCTATATGAGATTTTCAAACAATTAATTTAGCGGGTCATATTTACATGTTTATATATGTGTACATAACTAATAACTAATAAAAAGAGGCCATTAAGTTGAAAGGGAGTTGAGATATGAAGGACTGGAGGAAGGGGACATGGGAGAGTCTGGAGTGAGGAATGGAGAGTGGGGAAATGGTGTAATTATATTTTAATTACAATTAAAGAAAAATAATTGCAGGCTGGAAGGTTTAATCCCCCACACCAAGGTGAAAAGCAGGAGTGACAGTGCTTCTTGCTATCACAGCCAGCCCTGGCGGTGGAGACAGGGAGGCCTCAGGGACTCAACTGGCCAGCCAGTCTCACTGATCAGTGAGCTCCAGGTTCAATGAACAACTCACAAACTAAGCTGGAACTCGATACAGGAAGACAGACCATCAATCTCTGGGCGTCCAGGAGGGCATAAGTAGTCACACATACCCTCTCATACAGCCACATAAAATGAAGGAAAAGTTTGTTCAGTGTTGTACACTTGCAATCTCAGTTCTCAGGGAACTGTACAGGAAGATCTCAAATTCAAAGTGGGCTTAAGCTATATAGTGATACCATCTCAAATAACAAAAGCAAAAGGAAAGAAAAAAAGGGCTCTTGCTTAAGAAGAGTCATGTATAAAAATGAGCCCATAAAAAGAAAACTTCCTTTAGTGCCTGTGGGTGGTTTAAGTAAGAATGATCCTGGAGGTTGGAGAGATGATGGCTCAGTGGGTAAGAGCACTTGCTACTCTTCCAAAGGACCCAGGTTCAATTCCTAGCACCCATATGGCAGCTCACAACTATTTGTGACTCCAGTCCTAGGGGATCTGACACCCTCACACAAAGGTGCATGCAAACAAAACACCAATGTGCATGTAAATAATAAATAATTTATTTAAAAAAAAAAAAGAATGGTCCTATAGGCTCAACTACTTGAAGGCTTAGTAGACAGGAAGTAGCAGTATTTGAGGAAAGATTAGGAGGTGTGCCCTTGTTGGAAGGAGTGTGTTACTGGAGGTTGGACTCTCTCTCCACTCCCTCTTCTACCTTCCCCTCCCCCCCCTGCTTATGGATTAATAAGTAGCCTCAGCTACTTCTCCATGCTTACCTTCCACACATATTCTCAGTCATGATGATAATGGACTAACACTGAAACTGTAAGTGGACCCCCAACTGAATATTTTCTAACAGTTGCCTTGGTTATCGTGTCTCTTTTCACAGCAACAACACTAAGACAGTACCCCAAAGTATTAATAAATTTTACTCATATTGTATGAATTATTTTCTATATGTTCACTAAGATAGACAAACCTAAACCCTTACCCAACAAACACAATTATGTGTGTATGTAAAAAGTAAAACTGCCTTTTATAAAACAAACACAAGTACTAGTTTCTAATAAGTAGTTTAAACTAGTGATTACTCACTGTGCTTGGAAAGCTCTAGTGTGAGAAATGCTAATAAATACAGTTAAGGACTCATAAAAGCCTTTAAAGGGTAAAAGACTTCTTAGGAGCCAAAGAGAAACAGTGCAAAACAGCAGTGAATGCCATGCAAAGTAGACTAGTTTTCAAGTAGACTAGTTTTCAAGGACACTGCTCTCAGAGTGTACCCCAGGTTCTGGTGCCGGCACATTATTGTCTCTCAAGAAAATGCAAACATCACTTAACATACAACATGGGAAGAATAAGAATCTCAAACTTTAACACAATGACAGATGTGACAAGGTACAAATTATCCTTCTAACAAGGCTCTCTAAAATGAGATAGTATCTTTACAGCTCTGTGATGTCTGTCCTACGTTCAGATGTTAGTCTAAACATATCCTGTAGCTATCTAATAACTGAAGCTTGGACACCAACTGAGATCAAACATACATATTCATTGCTGACCGTCACACATCATTATAGAGAGATGAATGACACTAATCTGTGGCTAAAAAACCAAAGCTAAAATATCCATGATCTCTGTCTGCTTTCTATTAAGGCTGTTTTCAAACAGACAAACTAAGTGAAAAATTTTAAACATACCTGAGACCTGGAACTTAGTGCATTGAACATGTCAAAAAACACAAAGCAAGTGAAAGTCATTGTTGTATCCCGTGGTGTTATCACATTGTCTCGAAGCTGCCAAGAAGAAAGACAAAATGACCTATTTTTTGTTTGTTTGTAGCTGAATAAAATGGGTAAATACTGCATGCTTTTAAAATCAAATGCCCTCATTCTAAACAGGAAACCTATCTGAATTTCCTACAAATCACTTAGTGAATAAATATACTATAAATAAAAGTTTTTAAAAAATCTCATGAACTATGTATCAGGAGTTAAAACACTGGCCCTATTTTAATACAGCTATGCAAGTACTTAAGATTTTCTTGTCCTCCCCAAATTTCTATGCACATACTTTACTTTTTACTTAATGGCTTTAGGTTATATTCTCTTAATCCATATTTTTCATTCACAGGACTCTTCACTTGCCAAATCTGTACAACACCCTGAAATAACTAAGAATCCCACACACAGATGCATGTTAACACAGCAGTTTATCCAGGGAATATACCTCTCGCCAGAAGACAAACAAAGTCCCACAAACAATGATTATTGATGAAACAAGTATTTTAAGTATCAAATTTTTTGTCAAAATGCTGTCTTTCCAGTTTCGAGGAGGTTTTCGAATGACATCTTTATCCACTGGCTCTACTCCAAGGCTTAAAGACAAAAAGAACAAACACGGTACTTGGAAATGTTGTTTACACTTACTTTTATAACCTAACTAGCTTTAATTATCTAGGAAATTAAATACTTGCTTTCAAAAACAAAATGTTGAATCATAAAGAAAATTGGCTATGATTACTTGGAAACTACCACTGGTGGACATGCTGGCATATGTCTCTAAGTACCAACTACTACCATGAAGAAGTGAATGGGGAACAAAGGGAGAAAAAAGAGGAGAGGAAGGGAAGTGAGGACAAGTGACACTACTGATTTTGTCATTTTCTAAACTCTCACACTTATGCATGAGGCAAGGTATGATAGGCAACTGATAGCCAATTTTCAAAAACAAAAAACTTTGTTTACATATTTTGTTTACATAAATTGACTTTTCAAATCCATAACCTACCACGAAAACAATATATTTCATGCAAGGATGTCTTTGATTTACTGCAAGGGCCATGACAGGCCCAATCACGTACCGTAAGACTAAAGTAAGAGACACTGAAATCTTTGAACACATGTTACCAAGGCTCTTTAACAGAATCCAGTTATGAAACTGAACCTAGAGATGGTGTTGATACAATATTATGAAAGTGTCTCTTACACAGTAAAAGCCTGGGACTTTTGCTAGACCTCAGTCAGAGTCACAACTCTTATCCTACTATGTACTCAGCATGTGTAACGTGTTTAAGAGAATAACAGAACCTATCTTGCCTTGGATATCCCATTAACCAACTTTTACAGTGTGAGCTAATGCATAGCTGTAATCTTAAGTTACATGCCCCTGACCCAGAGTAAGACATATGTGTTTTCACATGTACTATAATCATTTGCTGTAAACACAAAACAGGCTGAAAGTGGCCTTATAGAATGGATATCCTTAAGTGCTGAAAGCAGCATTAGGATACTAACCAATGGTGTCTGATTATCTGGGTTAGTGGAGTCACTGACTTAATTTCCTTTAAAACTCCAGGTAAAAGTATTATAAAGTATCTCTCATTCCTTCCACATGTGACGCTTTCTGTGATGTTCAATAAAAGAGCCCTTTATTGGGGACAGATACAACAGACAGAGACAAGATACACAGACATACAGCACAGCCTTCATGCACCATAAAATTTCAGATTCACAGTCAGAAAACAGAAGACAGAGTGAAACAGAGAATTTAAATGTTGGCTCACTCTTGGTTAGATAAGGATAACTGGGTAGGGGAAAGGAGGGCATCTTTGATTGCTTCTGCTAGTGTAACACCAATGCACCAGTGGCAACCGAGTTTGTTACTAATGCGTTCAAACTGACCTTAGGAAGTTTCTCCACTACATCCAGTTCTTAGAACTCAGCTGATGCCCTGAGGGCAAGAACTGCAACTGTTCCCTGTCACCCTCACACAATGTAAAGGATCAGAACTACATTGAATGAATGGACAATCAAAAGGTATAAAAGATATGAAACATGGTGCTGAAAAGTCCCACGATGAAGGTTTGATATGTCTTATTCACAGCTGCCTTGTCTTTTCAATTTATTCATAACTAAACACTTACCTTTGAGCTGGGGGTCCATCCATAATAATATTAATCCACAATATCTGCATTGCATTGAGAGGGTTAGGGAAGTTCATTAACGTAGCCAATGAGATTAAAGTTAATGCTGCTATACTCCTGTTGAGATAGAGTCATTTAATTAGCACAGTAAATTAAACACATTTTACTAGCACTCAAGTCTCATGTTCCTGAGGCTGGGAGCCAGTTAGTTATGCAATACTTGCTAAGTATGCAGACCTGCATTTAGATCCTCAGGACCCAAGTGAAAAGTTAGGGGCAGTGGTGCACGCCTGTAATCCCAGTACAGGGAGGAAGAGACAGGAGGGGCCCTGCAGCGTGCTGGGTGGCCAGTCTGGCTAATCACTCCACGTTCAGTGAAAACAGGTTATCAAAAATTAAGGAAGGAGATGACTGAGAAAAACATCCAATGTCAACACCTAAGCTCAACATACAAAGACAAACATGTACACAGCTATGTGCACACTCACAAACACATTCATTATACATATAAAAGAAAAAAAAACATGTTCCAATATTTTAACATTTCCTATTAATTCAACTGATCTATCCTTCATTCATATGGCTATTTTGTTAAGAAGTGAAAAGGTGTCTCTGGAAACAGTCTGACTTTGCAGCTCAGGGTCTTGCTAATCTAGACTGGGATGGCTCAACAGTCTACTCAGTTTCAAGGTGCTGGGATCCAGAGTGAGAGCCACTCTGATCAGCAAGAGTATTTTCACAAAAGTTTTTTTATGCTTAAGCAACAACAGCAAAAGTAGTAAGACCTCCTAATCCTGACAGAGGCTTTCCCTAAATAAAATACACCAGGCCTCTGGAAGTCTCCTGCCTCAGCCTGATAGAATGCTGGGATGAGACATGTGCCTCCAAGCCCAGATGACAAGAATTTTTAACCTACAAAACAAGTTGGTATCAGAAGATGGAAAGATCTCCCATGCTCATGGCTTGGCAGGATTAACATAGTAAAAATGGCCATCTTACCAAAAGCAATCTACAGATTTAATGCAATTCCCATCAAATTACCAACACAATTCTTTACAGACCTAGAAAGGAAAATTCTCAACTTCATATGGAATAACAAGAAACCCAGAATTGCTAAAACAATCCTCTACAATAAAAGATCTTCTGGAGGTATCTCCATCCCTGATCTCAAGCTGTACTATAGAGCAACAGTTATAAAAACTGCATGGTACTGGCATAGAAACAGAATGGTGGATCAATGGAATCGAACAGAAGACCCAGAAATAAACCCACACACTTATGGACACCTGATCTTTGACAAAGACACCAAAACCATACAATAGAAAAAAGATAGCATCTTCAACAAATGGTGCTGGTCCAACTGGATGTGTACATGTAGAAAAATGAAAATAGATCCATACTTATCACCCTGCACAAAACTGAAGTCCAAGTGGATCAAAGACCTCTACATAAAACCAGATATTAAATCGGCTAGAAAAAAAAGTGAGGAATACCCTAGAATTCATTGGTACAGGAGAAAACTTCCTGAACAGAACACCAACAGCACAGGCTCTAAGAGCAAGAATCAATAAATGGGACCTCATGAAACTGAAAAGCTTCTGTAAAGCAAAGGACACCGTCATCAAAACAAAGCGACTGCCTACAGATTGGGAAAGACTCTTCACCAACCCTTTATCTGACAGAGGACTCATATCCAGTATATATAAAGAACTGAACAAGCTGAAAAGCAGCAAACCAAGTAATCCACTTAAAAAATGGGGAACAGAATTCTCAATAGAGGAATATCGAATGGCAGAGAAGCACTTAAAGAAATGCTCAACCTCATTAGCCATTAGGGAAATGCAAATCAAAACAACCCTGAGATTTCACCTTACACCCATCAGAATGGCCAAGATCAAAAACTCAAGTGACAACACATGCTGGAGAGGTTGTGGAGAAAGGGGAACCCTTCTCCACTGCTGGTGGGAATGTAAACTTGTACAACCACACTGGAAATCAATCTGGCTCTTTCTCAGACAAGTAGGAATAGCGCTTCCTCAAGATCCAGCCATACCACTCCTAGGCATATATCCAAAAGAGGCTCAAGTACACAAAAAGGACATTTGCTCAACCATGTTTGTAGCAGCTTTATTTGTAATAGCCAGAAGCAGGAAACAACCCAGATGCCCCTCAACTGAAGAATGGATGCAGAAATTGTGGTACATCTAGACAATGGAATATTACTCAGCAATGAAAAATAAGGAAATCATGAAATTTGCAGGTAAAAGGTGGGACCTAGAAAGGATCATCCTGAGTGAGTTGTCCCAGAAGCAAAAAGCACACACGGTATATACTCACTCTTACAGACATACAACATAGGACAAACCCACTAAAATCTGTGCATCTAAAGAAAGGAAGCAAGAGAGAGGACCCTAACTAAAATGCTCAATCCCCATCCTGAAAGGCAAAGAGGATGGACATCTGAAGAAGAAGAAAACAGGAAACAACCTAGGAACCTGCTACAGAGGGCCTCTGAAAGCCTCTGCCGTGCAGACTGTCAAAGCAGATACTGAGCCTAATGGTCAACTGTCGGGCAGAGTGAATGGAATTTTATGTAAGAAGTGGGAAATAGCAAGAGCTGGAGAGGACAGGAACTCCACAAGGAGAGCAACAGAACAAGAAAATTTGAACACAGGGAACTTCCCAGAGACTCATACTCCAACCAAGGACTATTCATAGAGATAACCTAGAATCCCTTCACAGATGTAACCCATGGCAGTTCAGTGTCCAAGTGTGTTACCTAGTAATGGGAAGAGGGACTGCCTCTGACATAATCTGATTGGCCTGCTCTTTGATCACCTCCCCCTGAGGGGGGAGCAGCCTTACCAGGCCACAGTAGAGGACAATGCAGCCACTTTTGATGAGAACTGATAGACTAAGATCAGAAAGAAGAGGAGAACCTCCCCTATCAGTGGACTTGGGGAGTGGCATGCATGCAGAAAGGGGAGGGAGGGTGGGATCGAGAGGGTAGGAGGGATGGGCTTACGGGGGGATACAAAATGAATAAAGTATAATTAATAAAAAATAAAAAAAGTTAAAAAATATTTAACAATTTTTTAGGCTATAAAAGTATCTATTCTATTTTCAAAAAAGATAAATAAGAAACACTACTGAGATTTGACAGACCCCTTTTACATTTGGGGAACAATTAAATAAATCCCAAAAGTTTATGCAGATATCATTCAGTATTCATGGGAACTGAACTGGTTGCAGGATCCCCTTCAAATGCCAAGGTCCCAGTCACTTATATAAAATGGCAAAATAGCTACTATTGTTTATGCATTTCCTATTATATACTTTATATCATCCCTATATAATTGATAATATCTAATTTGACCTAGACAGTATGTTAATAACTGTTAATATATTTCTTTTAGAAAACAACTTATAAGCAATCTTCAAGAATATGTCAGGACTTTCTAAGCATTGTTTAAATTTTACTTTTCAAATAATTTCTCTAGAAAACTCATAGATCATAGATAAAAGCTCTTGCAAACTTACGTGCTCAGCTGAAATCTAACAAAATTTTTAATGTTATTATAAATGCCTTTACCCTCTTCAATTGCAGACCTGAAATTTAAAAATAAAGAAATAAGAAAATATCACATAAAATGTGCCCATACATTTTGAAAATAAGTTTCCAACAAAGTAACAATTAGCACCTTTTAAAAAAATACCTACTGTTAGGTAAGAATAGGAAACAAAAACATTTTAATTTACCGAAGAATTGAGTTCTATTTAAACTATTTTCATTATACAACATTCAGCTTCTCGTTCTTTAAAAACAAAAATGAAACAAAACAAGAACGATAGGCCTGGAGAGATGGCTCAGTGATCGAGAGGGCGTTCTGCTCCTGCAGAAGACCTGAGCTCAATCCCGAGGATGCCAAGTGACTCACACCCCGCTCTAACTCCAGCTTGAGGGGACTGCTACCTCTGGTCTCCATGGGCAACTGCACCATCATGTACACTAATATATGGAATTAAAATAAATCTTTTTATAAAGCTCAACCTAAAAATCACTTATTACCTCTCTCCACACAAGACAATATTATAAATTTCTGATCCTAATACAATGACATTCTATATCCTTCATAGCTCATTTTTCTTAGTATGTTAAATTAACACATGTCAAAAATTAAATGGTGCCAGGCAGTGATGGCACACGTCTTTAATTCCATCACTCAAGAGGCAGAGGCAGGTGGATTTCTGTCAGTTTTAGGCCAACCTGGGCTATAAAGTGAATCCAAGACATCCAGGAATATCATACAGAAACCCTATGTTGAAAAAACAAAGGATGAAAGGTGAAAGAAACATGGAATTTCTTTATTGTTCCTATATAACTATTAGATTAATATGCTGTGAAGAAATTAAAGATGTGATTTACAAAAATAGTACTCAAGAATTCTCACATTCATTGACAATCTAGGAAAAAGTACATTCTTAAAATAACTGCATCGTCCAGGATTTTTTCAAGAATAGGGAGAAAAAATACTTCTCTCCTTGAAGAAAGCTGGCAAATGTGGAGCGCTGAGCTCCAATGTGAATCAGTTTAGGCCATATCTGGGTAATAAAGCATGGCAGGACTCATGATCAGAATTTATCACTGCAAAGAGTGAAGTTCAGGTCATTCCACGGGTAGTGGAAAGTGAGATTTACAGACCTCCGCTACTGGCATCACACTGGAGTCTCAATCAACTGGAAACTATGAGAGCAAAGGCATTCAGAGCTAAGGAGCAGGATCATTAAATGTGGGCAACAAGAGCGCTTAGTAATATTTTAAAAAAAATTAACGCATGAATGTGAACTTAACTACTAATGCTACATACATGTCTCCCGTAATCTCAGTTTAACTACAATAAAGACTCTGGAGAAAGAGCCTTTCTGGGTACATTTCTATGCCCAAAAAAATGTGACAACTAGCTAGCACTCAGTAAACAGTTCTTAAATAGGCTTGTCACTTATTTTATCTGTTCCATTTACACAAATAATTTTCTCTTGATTACATAAAATAAGACTATTAATCTGCCAATACTGCCAATTCTTTTCAAGGTGAATTATCTGAAGGTGAACTGTATGAAGGAGAGAAAAACAAATGTCTTACATTATGGTTTGGAAATCATCATCCACCAAGATCATGTCTGCAGCCTCTTTGCAAACATCCGTGCCAGTCTGGCCCATTGCAACCCCAATGTCTGCAGCCTTCAGGGCAACTGCGTCATTCACGCCATCTCCAGTCATGGCTACAACTGACCCGTTCTTCTGTAGAGACTACAGAGGGCCAGAAAAATAGGGCAGAGAGAATTATTCTGATTTTTTTTTAATCAGATAATGGAATAAGTATTTTTCACAAAACTAAGATGAGAAAAAATATCACTTCATTTTCAGTCAACTTCAATGCATCAAAGTCTTTACATAATAAAGCTTATGAACTACAGTTACTAGCATTCCCATCTAAAACAACGGTATATCTGAAATGTGACAGTCAACTATACACCTAGGGGACCCTGTCTTCCAGAGAACATCTAACAATGTTTGGTTGCATTCTGACTGTCTTGAGTTGTAAGATGGCACTGGCATGTACTGGGTAGGAGCTAAGGATGACACTAAACATTCTAGAGTACTCAGGAGAGCCCTTTCATCCCTAGCTACAATTAACCTACCCTAAAAGTCAACAACCTCAAAACTCAGAAGCTCTGAACTATACAAGGGCTAGCTACTACACAGAATTCAATCTGCCTATGAACTGTTGGATACAATTTCGGCTGTTTCATACATCAAATGTTACATAACAACATTCCAGGCAACGACGCATTGTAGAAGGCAGTAGATGAGGCTGAGACACCCCTACTGCCTGCTAACATGCAAGTGGCATTGGAGCACAACGCACTTCTCACTTACTTGTGGAACATGCCACATAATGGAAATGGTCATTGAATGACCTCCTTCTAAAACAGCTTTATTAACAGACTTATGAAAATAATAAGCCTTTTTGATACTGTTCACTCTCACAGAACATCCTTCTTATATTTACACAGTGCCTTGCCATCACTAGTCACATTGGGATGATTTAGCTGCAGATGCCTGCCAGAATACACTTCTATACTGTTTAACTTCTACTGTTTAAAGGGGCTACATTGGAAAATGCCTTACAGCTTCCAATACTTCCTTTTCCAACTAAACTGCTATTATTTCTCTGGCAAGCTCTTCCAGAACTGTATGTTTTGTCTCACAATATTTTCAACTGTGATGTTCTATTAATACTCTTTGTAATGAAGACAAAGTAGCAATATTTTGTATAACAAATTTAAGATAATTTAGTTTTCAGACACTTACCTTAATAATTTTCATCTTGTGTCTTGGGCTTGCTCTGTAAAATACTGCAACCTGTTAAAACACAGTTACATTAAAATTCTCCAGTGTTAACAAGAAGCAGTATTTCTAAGTAATGACATTTTTATTAACTTAATTTGGCACAAAGATTGAAACTAATCAATGCCATATATTTGTCAACATCCACTTCATGCAGGGATTAAACCTTTACCAAAGAAAAGAGTATATTACATTCTTCATAGGGAACACATAATCTAAACAAGTCATAACAATTTATATAATTAGGGTAAAGCTATGAAGAGAAAACACCTTTATTCTTGAGAGTATTTCAGAAATGAAAAGAGGGGAAATTTTTTTTCTTTATCTGTGTCCTTACAACACTGGTGTACATCAGAAACAACTTTTCTCTTTGGTTCATCTCCGAGAGGAACAGCTACTTCCTAACGTCTGAGAAGTCATTTTTACAGTATCATGTAGGTGTTCCTTGTCTTGCAATATTTCACAAGTCTTTCTTCAACTGGAATTCAAAGCTGCTTAGTGATCAGATTTCTCCAACCATAATTAATCTCTTTTCATCTGTGCAATCCTTTCACTGTGCTCCGATGACAGCGAGAACAGTGTGTCTTGCATCCTTAACTTTCACTTTGTTTTAGCCCATTTTCTTAGGCAACACTGCCAGCCCTTACAGCTCTCTCACACAGTACCACCAGGGGAGTGAAAAAGGGGAGCTGACTGTCATGGCCCCATTCTCTTTCATAAAACCACAGTTGTAAATGTCATCAATTCACACTTCTCACTAACTTTAAGGCTTCATGTTCCAAATCTCCCAGCCTCTCATTTCGCAGAGCTCTCAAGCGCAGCACCATGGTCAATCTTTCCAGGACCAAAAAGCCACAGTGTTTTTATATGCACACACACTCTTCTCTTTTCTAAGTCCCTGAAGGGTTATTTTATAGCACATTTCTCTCTTCACTCCTCTAGTCCAACACCTCCTCTACTTTGGCTCTCCGTGGACAACTTTATTTCTTACTTCAAAGAAAAGCCACCCAGGATCTGTGTCCAGTATTTTATAACCCTAGTGATTTACTATAGATGAACTGATAATCCTGAACTACTTGAGATCATTACCCAAATTCTCAAAATCCTTCCCTCTCATTGATCAGATTTTTTTCCTCACATTTAAAGTGAGAACCCACATTCCATGCCCTCCTGTCTTAGCTTTCATCTCCCTGCTTTTCTTCCTCTTCTTTTTCATCATCATCTTAAAGTCATGCCATCTTAAAATTTCAATCTTACCTTCTAGATTTTCTTATCTGTCTAGCCTGCTTGGTTTTGGTGCTTTGGGGCATTCATCCCTCTTTTAAAAATTTGTTTACCTTAAAACATAATATCTACGAAGGCAAAGATCTTTCCCTCTACCTTCAGTGCTTTCAAGGTATATGCCAAATGAATAAAAAACTGAATCTCAGCACTGTCATACAGACTGCTCCTGATTCCACTTTAAGTCTTAAAACAAGAGAATATTATTTTTTTAAAACAAACATTCTGCTGAACTACAGCATCCATTATTGATTATGCCCAATGTCCTATGGGAATCATGTGATGCATATTTGGAGACTATTCTTCAATTAAGAATAAAGTTCAATTTCTATTCAGATAGTGCATAGGTCCCTCCATCTGTATTCTAGCTAAGGCCATTTTAGGTTTAACTGGAATGTAATCTCTTCATGGAAAATTACCCAATTCTATTCCCAAGGTCAGGATGTCCAAGCTAACTTATCTTAGCTTCTGCTTGTGCAAAACTTTCCCCTGCAGTTGCCAAGCAAGATAACAGGACATAGTTTTTGCCTTTAAAACTCTCTTACCCAAAACACTTGGTGCTATACTTAGGTTGCTAATGCCTGAGTATAGTCCCAGCCAGCTGGAATGGTCTTTCAATTGGCAATAAACTGTGTCTGAGTGGTCATCCCTGGTGAGGTTCCTATAAGATTTAAATATAGCTTAAAAAAAAAAGCCATATATATATATATACTCAAACCATACTTGTAACTACATATGTAAAAGTCTAATTATTCAGAAATTAATCATAAAGCATACACTACACTGAAATGCCAACATTAAATGTTTGGCAAAAGCCACAGAATGTACAATATATTCAAATAAGGACTGATGATGAGTAATAATGTACTACGTTGTGCCTCTGTTCTACATAGTTTATTTTCAAAGTTGGCAAGACACTTCTCTGTAACTATTCTAGGTTACCAAAAATGAAGAGCCTGGTACTGTTTGACTGACAATGCACTCCTTGATAGATTAGCATATTTATTAGTATGTAATAAATATATTAACTATTATAAGATTTTAGCATTCCAAGGCTTCTGATTTTATCTCAAAAATAGAAGCAGCCCCTTTCAGACCAAACAGATCAATCACAAGCCAAATTGTCAACGATTACTTGGTCTTTCACATGTGACACATATCACCACACAATGTAAAATGTGTTCTTAAAGCACCCGAATAAGTTATTCTTGCTGAGTAAAAACAATGAAATTTAGCAAATGCCAAATTAAAGTCTAAAGAAATTATGTCCTACACTAAAAAAAGTTACTAGCAAGTGAAGTGTAACACTATCTTGCAACTGAAATCAAACTTGGCTCTCTAAGAACTAAACTCACTGCATAAATAATCTTTGAATTTCGTTATCTGTTTGTCTAGTAAAAGAGAGTAGCAGTGACTAACCAACAAAGTACAACCACTACGGTTTGGAAGTAAAACGTGAGGAAACAGGAGGAGGACAGAATAGTGCAAAGTTACATTACAAAAGAAGATAGCACAGCAAAATATTAGAGACGGGAAAAACACCAAAGAAATAGCCACAAATGACCTACATATTTTCAGAAACTCTCTGCAATAGCATTTCACTCTTCCCTATTAGCATTGCTCTGGGTATCAAATTCGTGACCAGCATCCACAACTCTTTAGACTGACATAGACTGACTAGGTATGATGAGGAAAGGAAGTTAGGGAGAAAATAGGAAAGCATTAAAGCAGAGGTTAATGAGAAAGAGATTAGAGAGATTAGAATAACCCATCAAAGGTCCTCAAATCTTCTAGAAGATTTCCTACTGATGCAATGTATAAATGGCACAATGATGATTAAAATAAAAATGTATAACCTACAGAAAGTGAAACAATACACAAACCAGGATTATGAGGATTCATTAATACGCTGAGTAAACAAAGATTTAGTAATATATAAAACAGAAAACAAAGAATGATGAGCATACTCAGTTCTACCTATGCATAACAGGACACATTCTAAAATAAATCACAAATAGAAAATGCTGAGAACCTAGGTATACTTTACAAGCAGCCAAAACTCAGCTTCCACATACCTAACTGTTCTAGGTAAATAAATAAACCCACATGTAGATTTTGAAAGATTCAGAATGTATTCTACAGAATAACAAAGAAGAAATACTGACATGGCAAACAGATGTTAGGATGTCAAAAACTAGTAGACTGATAATTTAAAGCTCTTATTTCTACAGTAAGAAAAAAGTCTCTACAAATTAATCAGAAACAAAAGCAGGTGAAATAAAACCTGTTGGCTGTCAAAGGTTTACATGAACACAAGATGAAGGAGGAAGAACAGTCCTGCTCATTAAAGATTCCATTAAGTGAGCCGGGCAGTGCTGGCACACACCTTGAATCCCAACACTCAAGGAGGCAGAGGCAGGTAGATCTCTGTGAGTTTGAGGCCAACCTGGAGTACAAAGTGAGTCCAGGCCTATTTTACAGAGAAATCCTGTCTCAGGGGGTTGGGGGGGGGGGGGTCCATTAGTGTTTAGAGAAAGGACTCATTTAAAACACATCAAGAACCTATAAAGAAGCCATGGTATTGTACAATCCCTCTCCTAAGTTGGATACATTTAACCAATTCAAAAAACTAACTTCAAGGCTTGGGCTTTATTTTATTTTAGTCTCTTTAGAATACTGACAGGGTATCTGCCATAATTAACACACACACACTCTACTTGCGAAATATGATGTCATCTGTCCACGCTAATGATATAATTTGGAATTTGTTTCTTCCTTCTCAAAATACCTTTTAGGCTTGTTTCCACAGTGCATTAGCATTTTGTCAAAGAAACAGAAGGGGAACTAGAAAAAGCAAATGCAAGGCTGAAAGCTCTAGCAAAAGGCTGAACAAATGTCTAGTGAGAAAATGTTTAACTATAGATTTTACAATCACTTGGAATGTATACTTTAGCCCACACCTCTGGAGAGGCCAATATCGGATTTATTTCACAAATAAACAATAAGGTAACAGAACTACATAAACTCCCATTCAAATATGTAAACATCCTTCCCAGCCCCCCAACCCCCCCCCCACCACCACCACCACTTAATCTCAAGCAAAGAAAATGTTCCTGCTGCCCTGGATGCTCTGAAACAACATTCATGAATGACTATGGCTTGATAACACTTTAATTTTGCCTGAGTAAAGAGTGTATTTCTGCTAGAAAGCAGCTTCCCCTGCCCCCATCTGTTTACTCAAAGCAGCTCTAAGTCCAGGGACTCAATGCCACTGCGTTAAGTAGATTGTAAAAATAGAAATTAACTGAACCTTGGTCAAATCATTTCAGATCAAGAATTTGGTCTACAAAAGTAATTATATCTGAAGTTGCACATTCAAACCTATAATTAACACATGATGAATTTTTAAGTTACAGCCAGGGGCTCCAGTACCCATGTCATTCCACTCTCACTGGCTCTAAGATATCAAACTTTATAATTACTCAAAATAGAAGTAACTAATGTGCCCTTCAAATCAAAGTGTCACAGTCATATGTTCCTGTAAGAATCATAGTAAACAAACTATCAACTCAGGAAAGGGCATGGTGCTGCTTGGTCAAAGAGCCAGCCTGGAAAGGCTACTAATGGTGTAATTTTAACCCCATTGCACTCTGAAAGTATAAAGAACAATTAAGTGAAACAGCAGGGATACCCTATGGCAACAGGACAGTTCTACATACCACTAATGGTGAGCAAAGTAACTACCCATTTGTCAAAATCCCCTAAAAGTAGTAAAGCTGGGGTACATATTATTTCTTCAGTTAATCCTGAAAATCAAAACTTATGCTAAAGAGTATACTAATTGCTAAAATTTTTTAAGTGCGGTAATCTATCCTCTAGCCAGTGACTACATGTAAAATATGTATAATGCATGCACTCTTGGTTACTACTGTTATCATTAAAACATTATTCACAGTAAAAATACATAAACTAAAACTTCACTAAGAAAATGGTTTTACAGCAGGACACGGTGGCACACTTTTAATCCCAGCACTCGGGGAGGCAGAGGCAGGAGGATCTCTGTGAGTTTGAGGACAGCCTGGTCTACAAAAAAGAATCCAGGACAGCCAAGGCTACACAGAGAAATCCTCTCTCAAAAGACCAAAAAGGGGTGGGGGGCAAGAAACAGACAGACAGACAGACAGACAGAGAAAGAAAGAAAATGTGTATAGAAACACATACATACCTTCCAGGTATGTATAAACTCACGCACAGTAGACAGCCACACAAAATATAGTATACCCATTAAAGGCATATTTTCTAGTTGTATCTCATGATTTCAGAAATGCTGAAGTTCCATAAAATGAATGTTAAGCTTGTGAACGTATAAAGTATAAACTAGGTTTCTGTTAAATATGTATTTTAAAGTTCACAGTAGTTTAGCCTACTATGCTATGTGGGCATATAACTTCTGAAATGTCTGTATTAGATTATTAATAACTTGAATTATAATTTACTGTTCAATTTTTCTATAATAAACACATTATTACTGAAAATTTTTTCTAATCAGAAAAAATAAAAAAATATAATCTATATGTACTATATAAAATATATATAAAAATCTATAAGTTGAGATATTGATATATTTTAAGGAATTCTGTATTCTAAAAAGTCAGCTTTTAAGTATAAATTGAAATAAAAGAGGCCATTCAGTTTATTACTGGCAACTGATGACTAAAATACCTAACCAAATAAATTCCAGAGAAGTACTTATTTTGAAGGACATATAAATACATATACACAAATATTAACAACATGAAAAAAAATAATGCTGTCCAACTTTTGTGAAGTCAACTTCCTATATCCCTGTGTATGTGACAACCAGTTATGTCAGGCCTCCATGAAGCAAATTTCATGTAAGGAAATTGGCTTTAAAGAAGTTACTATGTTATACAAAACAGGAATGTCTTTTTTTTTTTCCTTATAAATAATTTGCTACAAAAGCATTAAAAGCAAAGATTAAAAAGCATTTTAGTGCCAAACCATCAGCCTTTCAACAGATGGTGCTGGAACAAGGAAATACCATGCATAACAAAGAAAATTCTGACCTCTGCACTATATACAAAAGTTCTAAATGATCACTGGCCAAAATCAAAAGCTCTAAAACTGGGGGCTGGAGAGATGGCTCCACGGTTAAGAGTACCAGCTGCTCTTCCAAAGGACCCGGGTTCAATTCCCAGCACCCACATGGCAGCTCACATCTGTCTATAACGCAAGTTCCAAGGGATCTGACACTTTCACACTAATGCACATAAAAATTAAATAAATTATTTTTTAACAAAAGCACTAAAACTATAAACCTTCTAAGATAAAATCCTCTGTTATCCCAGTCTAGACTGAGCCCTTAAATTAAGAAATCACAAGTATGACCCATGAAAGTAAAGATTGATAAGCCAGACTTTATCATATTAAACACTTCTCTGTAGTCACACCAGGAAAAAAAAGCTGAAAAGCTGAAAAGGCTACTATATGATTAAAAATATCAAAATTAAATAAGAAAGCAATGTAATTTTCCAAATACTTAGATCATGTAAATAAAGACCATAATATGACAAACAAGTACATAAAAATTATTTAAACTTAGAACTTTTTGAGGAAAATGCAAATGAAAACCACAATAAAGTCTTCTTATATACCATGAAAGCAGTAAATGACCCCTCGACAGGTGGCATCACTACAGAGCAACAGGAGCATTCCCACACTGCTAAAAGAAGCTCAGCATCGTAGTGCCAATGTGCCACCCAATATGGAGTGTCTTACCAAGTTCAGAACATACCAGCCATGTGACCCAGAAATTACTCAGGTATTTTCACATGAGGAAAACTGACTTTCACAAAGAAGCTGATACACACAGCTTTCTTTACTTACTGTCAGCAAACACTAAAAAGGCCCAACTGTCCTTGACCTGAAGAGACACAGCGCAACCACACAGTCACACACTGCTCAGCAATTTAAGGGAAGTGGAGAAGTAGAGGCCTAAGACACACAGCAACGCAGGGAAGCGAAGAATCAAACTCAAAAGCCTCATCCTTCATGATCTTATTTTTACAGAATTCAATGAAAGATGAAACTATAGGAATAGGAAATGAATCGCTGCTGCCAAGCTCTAGACCTAGAAGAGCAGTTGAATATAAGAGGTCATGGAAGAAGACTTGAGGTTTGGGAAGAAACTATTCTGTGTCCTGTTTGTGACAATGTTTGTAAGTAATGTATGAATCTGTCCAAACTCAGAACTGTACTCCAGAATAGGTGTGTTTAACTGTCTGTAAACACCTCAATTTCTTAAAAGGTACAAACAAACTCAAGCAAAAATAAAAACAGAATATAAGTTGTGTCAACTAGCTGTTCTCTTTCCATTTTTTATACATACAGCCCCTTGGTTACCAGTCTTTCCACAAAGGAAATGCAGTTTTTACCAGAAGTAATTTTACAAGATTTTCATAATGGTCACATCATAAATAACAATATGGTTTATTTCAAAGAAATTTCACTTCAGAATTTGAAGCAGCAAATTTGGTGAGCATTCCTCACTGACAAATGTGAAGTTTCACTGCGACGCCCACAGTGGCTGGCATTCAGGACACAGGCTCTCAGTATTAGTCAAGCGAGCTTACCTTTGGCACTATCTGTGAAAGCTGCTGGACCTCCATCGTGTCCACTTCTTCTCCAGACACTGACTGGGAAGTTTTAGAGTACAATCCCAGACGACTAGCTAAAGAAAACACAAAAGAAAAAATATATATATAATTAACCAAGTTTCTTTGCTTGAAGAGTTGCTAAAATTATGATCATTTAGTATGATTTTATATTTACTTCTTCATAAGGATAAAAACTATACCAAGGGATCATAAGACAAACAACCAGTAAGATAAAACTATCTGAAATTCAAAGCAGGTCTCAAGTTTCTTGCTTGATTATTTTGTTTGTGTTTAAATTTAAGCATAAACAAGTTTCCCTAAGCCAACAAACCCTAAAAATTAAAATTAGATTCATCAATTTCTGCTCGATAGCGTAATTCTAAAGACATTGAGAACGTACTATAAGCAAACACTGGGGGCAGAGTTAGCTGCCTGCAATAATGTAGTTGCATATAAACGACAGCATATGTTGAAGAGCTATTCTCCCAACGTCTTGATTCCACTGACCCTTCTTTTTTTCACTCAGGAAACAGTGCAGTCTTTATTCTTAGCCAAATCATACTGTTACAGCTTTGACTACAAAATACATAGAGGGTAGGATACTAATCTGCTAATGCCTTTTCCCTCTGGGCAAAGAGTGGATTTTTTTTTTCCTTTTTCTTTAAATTATAATTTATTACAATTTATTCAATTTGTATCCTGGCTGTGGCCCCTTCCCTCATCTCCTCCAAATCCCACTCTCCCTCCCTCCCACTTCTCCCCCTCTGCCCCTCCCCTTAGGTATTAAAGCAGAGGCTCAGACTCATAGCCAAACTTTGGGCATAGTGCAGAGAATCTTATGAAAGAAACAGGGAGATAAAAAGACCTAGAGGGAACAGGAGCTACAAAAGGAGACAAACAGAGCCCTGGGGAATGATACCCCAACCAAGGACAATGCGTGGAGAGGACCGGTCAGATGTAGCCCATAAACTTTGTCTCCAAGTGGGGTCCCTAATAAGGGAAACAGGGACTTTCTCTAGCATGAACTCAGTGGCAAGCTCTCTGATCACATCCTCCTGGGGGGTGCAGCCTTGCCAGTCCACAGAGGAAGACAATGAAGCCAGTCCTGCTCAGACCTGATAGGCTAGGATCAGATGGATGGGGAGGAGGACCTCCCCTATCAGTCTACTGACCCTTCTTAAGGTAACAAGTTTGAAATCTTTAGCCCAGACCCACCACAAATTAATAAAATCAGAATTAACAGAGCCTGGCAAATGTTACATTTATACTTTCTAGGCTCCAAGAAATTGGCACTACTCTCCACCTTATATTTCTGAAGGTAACTATAGATGACTTTCAAACCATATGAGTACATCTCTACGTAAAAACAAGAAGTATAGAACAAGCTCTCCTCTCAGTATTTATGTTCAAGTCTGCTTTGAAAGTTATACTTAAACTGAAAAGAAAAACCTCAAAAAACACTAGCTTGAGCTAGTGTTCAGCAAGTGAATTACAAAGCTAAAAAACTCAACTACCTAAGACACAAATGATTTCATAATGAGTTAGTCATGTTTTCAATATTCTTTTCTAACTAAAATCCAGTTTGCCAACAATCTTTTGTAAGTTTGAGCAAAAACAGTAAGTTGTTATGCAACCTCAATAGCATATAAACATTATTTCCTAGCTGATGTTTACAAAACTATGCACTTCAGTGTTTATGAAAACTTATTGAAACCAAAATGCAGCAGCTCAGTTATACCGATTGCAATTGCAGTCTCCTGTGAATCTCCAGTGATCATTTTGATCGAGACTCCTGAGGCAATAAGTGTTGTGACAGCTTCTTTCACACCAGTTCTAGGAGGATCAATGATTCCTACCAGGCCAAGGAAGGTCAGTTGTCCCAGTTCCGGACCAGAAGCCAAGGCAAGAACTTAGGAAATAACAAAACAAAACAAAAAAACTGGAAAATACTGGTTGCAAAAACACTGAACTTAGCTAATAATAAATCACATAAGGCTATAATGTCATCTGTAGTTACTCCATATTATTTACAATTGAAGCTTATCACATACCAACACATTGTAGTTCAAAGGTTCTAGACATAAGGTTGCTTTTAGGCTATTAAAAATTAAAAGAAACCAGGCATGGCGGTGCACACCTGTAATCCCAGTATTCTGTAGGCAGAGGCAGGGAGATCTCTGTGAGTTCAAGGCCCTCCTGGTCTACAAAGTGAGTCCAGGAAAACCAAGGTTACATAGAGTAACCCTGTCTCGAAAAATCAAAAAACAAACAAACAAAAAACAAAATTAAAAGAAATAATACCAAAGAACTATTACCAGAGAAAACAAACAAGAAAGAATTAAGAACATTCTTTCATAGCAACCACATGCAGCCACCATGCAAAGAAACAAGCTCTTTAAAAAATAAAATTCATTATAAAAGAAAAATATGGTTTTGTCAAGAATTAAAAACCCAAATTTAAGCAAACAGGTCTCTTCAAAGGTAGCTTCTAAGATAGCTTCATCTGAGAAGGCTATATTAATTGTACCCAGCCTGTATGTATACAATTTCATACAAGCTAAACAGTAGAAAGAAAAGTTCATCTATAAAGTGGTATTACGGTCACTAATACCAAAAAGTCTCTTTGCCTTCAAACATTAACAAGCATTTCTTGCTCATAATTTTAGCTCTCTAAGAGCTCATAACTATCATATCATTACATTTAGTTTCTTGTCATCACTGGGTAGCAAGATCAAACAGAATGTCATGCTCATTTTCCAAACATCACTCATCTTATTCTCAGAATTCTGTAACCTCTGGTCATTACCATTATAAATCAAAATGACAATCCTGGAGCAGGGGGATTGTGAGACCAAACACTTACTAACAAGTATCCACAAAGCACACTAAACTTAAGTGTCTCAAAGGGAGCATGCAAGGTCCCAAAAGAGACCAAAGTAGTACTTAATATTATGCAAGCAGCAAACATACATGAAGGATTGAAATATCAAAGTTGAAGGCAAGTCACTTCTATTTAAGTGTGTAGATATACTCTGAAGAAAAAGAGCTACCTGGCAATCCCTGATGCTAAGATAGAGGAAGAAGGCAATTAAAAAGAAAATATGACAAAGAGTATCAATTTATGTGTTAGCTAACCCTAATTTATGTGTTAGCTAACTCCCTAAATGGGAGATCATTTCTGCATACTCCCCAATATAGGGGTGGCACTAGCCCAAACACTATTATTCTGTATTTAGACACTCATTAATACTAATAAAGACCTACTTAAGATATTCTTTAGGTCAAGACTTGATAAAGAATGTTTATACAGAAGTCCTCTGACACAGAACAATTACTATGGTTTGAATATGATATTTCCTATACAATGTTTTCTGAGGTTGTGGAACCTTAAGGATATGGAACTTACCTGGAGGAAATGGGTTACTTTAAGACAGAACTTAAGTTTTTAGAGCTCACCATCCTGGCCTTCTCTACTGCCCTGAGATATAAGGTAGCAACCTCACTCTCCTGTTGATACCATAAGATACTCCTAGCACCATGATGGACAGTTACCTTCAACTACGCATCAAAATAAATTCTTCCTCAGTTAAGTTTCTTCTTATAAGATAGCTGGTCATAATCACAAAAAAAAAAAAAAAAAAAAAAGAAGAAGAAGAAGAAGAAAAAAGGAAAAAAATAGAAAAGAACTAAAATATATTAAAATTTCAGAATTTAGGACCACAGGCATTTTTAAGAAACAACTTTGTAAGAAGAAGCATTACTATATCAGTTAACATTTTAATGTACACATATTAATATTTAATATTTTATTTGTACATTATAGTAATAACAAGGAAAAAAAAGACCTAAAAGATAAAGATCACAGTATTTCCTAAAATTCTATGAAACAACTGTTTTCCTCTAACAATGCTAGTCTAGTCACAATGAATACTATAGCTAACCCATGTACAAAAAAACTCAACAATTGTTCAGCAAAATGTCCCAGCAAATAAAGACACTTGTTATAGACCCTGACAACCTGAGTTTCATTCCTGGAACTTACACAGTAGAAGTAGGAAATTGATTTTTCATGTGCTATCCACTGTGCCACCAATCCCAACCCCCCCCCCACACACACACAAAATAAATAAATCTAACAGAAAGTTGTAGAAGATAGTTATTTAAAATATCTCTATCCTATATTGAGACTACTGCAGATCTATAAAGACCCAAGAGTTCACATTTTGCTCTATTCTTGACTTTCTATTGTTTGAGGGCCAGTTCCCCAACTATTACAAAACACGACACCTCAGAAATCACAATGGTTCTGATGCCTGGAGTAGACAGCTCAGAAGCAAAGTAGGGATTCAGCTCCAATTAAAAGGCCCTTTTTCCCAGAGGGACTATACTCAAAACAGCCTTACCTCTGAGTCCTGCTGAGCCCATCCGTGCCTTCTCTTGTTGGTACAAATCTCTCTGCTGCTGGGTAAGTGCCAACGTCTGTCCTTTGTTGTTGTACATAGTACAATACTTAATCACCTGTTCATAAGCACCCTTCATAAAACAAATTTCCGGTCCGTCCTAAAAAGAGATACATACCAAGTTTACATTCAAATATTCAAATGGTGTATATATAAGCACCCTTCATAAAACAAATTTCTGGTCTGTCCTAAAAGAGATACATACCAAGTTTACATTCAAATGGTATATATATATATATCGTATATGAATCCAAAAAGAGACATCAATCTCTCATGATCCTTAGCAAAGTTATTCTAGTCCAATGCTACAAGTGGCTCTTACTTAATTTAAAGATTATTAACACGTGGGAGTTTGCTGTATGTTCTATAAAAACATCCGTCCTATCACACTTTACACTATAAGCAACACTTTACTAACTGTGAGATCCAGGACATGGTTCTTCACCATGCAGCAGGGAAATGAAAGCAATCTAGTATCAGTCCAAGGGTAATGGTTCAGGCTCTTTATTAATGACTGTGTATCTATATCTATGCCTACCTATGTACGATGCTCTTTAATGCTCACAACAACCTTGTGATTGAGAGAACTAACAGACTTCTTCCATTTATCATAGTAGAAGTAATATTTATCGAGCATGTACAAGGTCCCAAATTCAATCCACAGCACAGGAAAAACAAATACAAAATAATCCCCAGTAGCTTCTAATGAACACCTGCAGTCTCTATTAGACCTTCTCGTTAAGAAGGACTCATTAACAATTTACAATTCTTTCAGCTGTCTTCTTTGGTTCATATCTCTGAGTTTTTAATATACATTTATATTTTGACTCAGTTAACAATTTATGAGCTGTTTACTGTGATGCCAATTTGGTCAGGTATATCTATATTCATTCTCCATGTATCTTTACAATATAACGGAAGTTGTCAGAACTTAGACCACGACTCCTCCATACTGAGCCAAGCACAATAATGAATACAGGGGCTCTCTAACACAATGGCTCTCTGCACCCCTTAACCTGAAAGTCCGATGTGACTTGTTTCATCCTGTAACTCTGGCAAGCACTCTGTCATTTCCAGATGGAAATTTAGGGGCCACAGCAGTTTGCTTCCTCTCCCCCTGGCTGTGACAGTATATGCTCGCTCTCAGCCACCATCCACCAGGATTACCAGCAACGACAGCATGGAGGTATCCAGAGGCATGGACTTCGGGGCAGTGTGTGGGTGTTTATGTGGACTATCCTTACTGATACATCAAATCATACTTCTCTTTCTGTTCAAGGTTTGTCATCCAAAGTTAGTATCTATTTGTTTTTATTTTTACTTAGCTTCATTTATAACTCTCATTTATTCTTCCTAAACTCTCCAACGTGATTGTTCACAGGATAAAAAGAGCAGGCAAGCAGCATTTCTCTCCTTTCACTGGAAACCTGCCGCCTTTAGTCTTCCTTTTTTTCCCCTTTCTAATCTGAGATGGCTAAATTTGGGGCCTGTTGCACTAATGAATCAGGAACTCCCCTTAATCCCAGCCCCAACCCCCAAATCAAAGTCTTCCTTTTCTTTGCCTTAGCCAACAATATCCACCTTTGTATTCCCACACTTCTAAGTTCTCCTTCTTTGGAGGCTTTTCTGCACAGTCTCCCAAGTGCCCAGTGTCACAGCATAAAGCACAAAAGAGCCACAATTCGCCCTAAGCCTTCTTGTGATCATCCTCTCACCTTACCTCTTTACAGGGCACTTCCTCCTACTCCAAGCACCTCAGGAGGATTTACTCATGCTTTTTCCCAAGCATCTCATCACTTTTCAGCCCTATAAGGGAGCATTCTTTCTTGGTTATGGACCTGGTATTTATCCCCTTACACTACCCCCATTTAACATAGTTTTAAGCAACTGCAGAGACCATTTCACTGTAAAACCTAAAAACCTTTCTATTCAGGAAATAGTTCTAGCATTATCTAACAAAATTTCATTTCTTTCTTGTTTTTTTTCCCTTTGGTTTTGTCTAGCTTTTTTTTTTTTTTTTTTTTGCTGTTGTTTGTTTGTTTGTTTGTTTTTCTAGAGACAGATTTTACGTTTAGCTCTTGGCTGTATTGGAACTTGATATACACAGACCAAGTGGGCCCTGAACACACAAGAGATCTGCATGCCTCTCTGCCTGAGTGTTGAGATTAAAGGCATGAGCAGCATAACTGGCACAATCATACTTGCTGTCTGCTCTATGCTATTCCCACTGCTACATGTGTCATCAATCTCCAAAACTTCATTACCTAATCTTCTAAGCTCCTCCACTGGCTACTTCTCACTTTCTACTCTACTTCTGACAGTTATCAATTAGCACTTCTCCTTAAGCATTTTACCATCCCTTCTCATAGCCTTTAGGGATTTCCTTCAACATCTGGCACTACCTTTGTTCACTTGCTCTGAGCCTATGTCTGCTAGTTCAGTCTTTATCCTTATACTAAACACTTGCCCAGTTGCCAGAAGCCCTACCTATCCATTTGGGCTCACAACTAAAGAACTAGCAGCTCGCTGGGCACTGATAACACTAATTAGCTAGTGGAGCAAGGAAAGGCCAAAAGTAGGGAAGCTTGGTCCTTACTATTGAAAGACCTGGGAGCTGTTCCAGCACTCTCCAATATTCTTAGAGGCAGCCTTCACACACTCAAAGAGACCAGTAAAAATAGGGCCTAGAGGCTTGTTCTTTATGATGACTTTCCCTCAGTCAGCTTTTGGCATTAAGCCTGCCAGCACTCCACTCCTATCCTCTGGTCAGACCTCCTATAAAACAATACTAACAGTATTAACGAAAGAAGCAGAAAAGGCATTTGGAGAGGAAGGGTTTCTACTGGTTCCTTCACTGACACTCAACCTCCCCTCCCATTCTTTTTCTGTATTACTACCTGCTGTTAGAAGTACTTATGAGTTTTTATCTTTTATTCTGAGATTTAAAAAAAAATAAGTATTTATACTGTCATATTCAAAAGACTTCTCTAAAAACAGACTAATTGAGCCATTCTAGTTATTTTTAAATTAGCAAGTCTGCCCAATCTGTCAGGCTGACCTCCCCCCATATACACTGAATGGCATTTGTGTGACCATTTCACTGTAAAACCTAAAAACCTTTAGGTTAACCTCTGTTAATTCCACTAATTGCTTTTATCTTGCAGGAGTCTTCAGCTGGGAAAGTGAAAAGAATCCCACAATTAGTGTGGTTTTACTTACTCTAAGGCTAAGACATTCCTTCAGTGAAGAGCAGCTCAAGATAAAATCATAATTATAATTATAATGAACTATCACTGAGAAGAAAATCATATCAAGAAAACTGGATGTCAAAAGTTCTTAATACCTAAGACCCACTAAAGCTGTCAGCTCAGAACCAAAACTAAATATTTCAATACACAAATTCTATAAAGAAGAGTGTCATAAAGACTTAAGTACTGTTGATTGTTCTACTCTAAACCAGTGGTTCTCAACCCTTTCATACAGTTCCTCATGTTGTGGTAACCCCTAACCATAAAATTATTTTCCTTGCTACTTCATAACTGTCATTTTGCTACTGTTATGAACCATAATGTAAACAGCTGAAATGCAGAATATCAAATATGTAGGATATTAATATGCAGCTATTACAGGGGTCATGACTCACAGGTTGAGAACCATTGCTCTAAGACAACAGGACCAATTATATCCAGCAACTGGTTAGACCTAATGGTAAATTAAAAAATAAAATTGTCACCTAAGCTGAATTAGATGTGTTCTTTTATGACTTTGAAGTGCATAGGAGATAGAGCCTCACCCTATAGCCCAGGCTAGCCTTGATCTCATTGTGTAGCTGACTACAAACTTCTAGCAATCCTGCTTCAGCCTCCTAAATGCTAGAATTATGTATAAAAATGTTTAAAGAGCAAGATACCTGCTGTGTTCGGTGTATACACTTAACAGCCATCCACTTTTGCTCAGAACTAAAAGGGTATTCAGCTTTTCTGATATAGTCTTGTTGTAGTCCATCAAGTCCCATCTGTAAGAACAAAATCAAATAAAATAATTCTAACCAGCATGTGTTTATTTTTCCCTTTAACAAACAATGTAAATCATAACTTGAACATGTTGAGTTAAGAGAGCTGCTTTTCCAAGTATTGGTGAAAGAATAGCAATGCTCTATCTATGAGGACTGCATCTGCCTGAAGAGCACCATTGAATTTCAACATCCAAGTTGGCTATATAGACAGAATACTAGACTGTATGTACACAAAGCCTTCATCTCTACCAGTTCAAATTCTGGAAGAAAACAACATACACATAAATAAAAGTGCCTGACCAACATTGAAGATGAACTTTTCCAATCAAGAAAAATCTCATATTTAACCCTTACTAGCAACTGGGATGCTTCCTGTCTGTTGCTATTATCTTTATCCTAAGCCTTTATAGTCCACTGTTGTATAACAGTTTCTATCAGTTTCAAACATTCCATCCTGCAAGGAAGATAAGCAAAACAAAATTGTTTCAGGAAGTTCCTGACCAGATTCACTAAACCCGGTTCACTAAGCTCCTCCCTCCCTAACTAAGCAATGAAGACTGCTGAGAGCCACTCTCAGACAAGCCAAGCTGCAAAGAGGACTGGGACAACTTAGTCTCCTAGAGAAGCAGAAAGCAACTGAGGTGCCTAGAAGAGGTTTAGATCAGTCACTTGGGAAGGACACTCTACAGCCTGTTGAACTGCCTTCCAGGCTGTAAAGGATGCTCCAGATTTCCCACTTTTGCTGGGGGTGGACCTTGGTGATGCAGCTGACTTTGGGTTACTTCTGCTTCTATACGTAACTCCTCTCCCATATTCCTGTAAGTAACCCAATAAAACTCATTGGTTCACCAAGCTGGACTTCGGTAGGGTCTATAGTTTGGTCTGCCGTGGGTTCCCTATAGCACATGCGTGCATAGGTGCATGGGTACATGGGTGTCTTTCTCTCTGCATGTCTCTGTGTGTGCACAGGCACATGCACACATACACACAAGGAAGGGAGGGAAAAGGGAGGGACAGAGGGAGAGGGAGGAGACTGTTGTTTCTCCCTAGGTCTTAGAAACTTTGTTACACAACACCTAACACTCTATAAATCGTAACTCCTAATGTCATATAGTTGTTCTCACTCCCAATCCTTTGATCCCTTTGCCTCTTATTCCAAATATTCAAATGTATTTTAGAACTATTAAAATGTCCATGTTATTAGCTTCTATTTTCTTCAGAAATGCGTTCAGAGTTCTCTTGGCATTCATATTCCCACCAAATACAACCTAATTAACAATTTCCCTTGTTAACCAACACCCTTCATTCCTTCCGTTAGCCAGATGATTAGTCTTGACCCATTCACTCATACCTATTTATCCCCTTGTGCTTTCATTCTAGCTCCTTCCTAGCTATGCTCACTAAGCCCTTTCTGTCCTTTAAAGTCAAGCCTCCAGCTTGAGCCTGCTCTGCCTTTTCTTTGTTAAAAAGATGTCAATATTAATGCCTCGAGGAAGTAGCTAGTAGCTTGTTAAACAGAAACACAGGAAATAACTGATACCCAATTCATGTTTTTATTATTCTTATAAATGCTGTACATGTTTTTTTACTTATAAGGCCAGATGACAGAGAAATGCACCTTTGTATAGAACCAGCATATATCTTCTGAATCTGCTGGGCAATGGCTTATTTCAGGGTTAGACTGCTTGTCTCCCCTATGGAAGGTTGTGAGTCCAATCTGTTGTTTACATTACAATGAACAGGAGAGTGACTAAGTAAACCTGAGGATCATCTTGCTGTAGGAATTTGCAACTATCTGCTGACTCTTGTTCCTTTATTCAATTGCAATGTTTTCTCAAACTATTCTTAAAAGTGGGAAAGGTTATTTTTCTTATGTAAATAGCAGGTTTCTCACTGAAATAAATGTAAATTTAGGATATGAGCTCAATCTGAACAGGTTCCAGGAATAATACTTCCTCTCTCCCAAACACAGATTTTACTAACACTGACTTTGGGAAGTGGACAGAAGGAAGGAAAGATCAAAAGGAGAAAAGCCGACTTCTTGTTACTACATTAAGATACATGATGTCACTAGAAAATCTTATCTTTTACTAATGTAAATATCCAAAAGTGTTTCAGAATATTATCTTTTACTCATCTGCAAGTATTTAACAGCAACTACACAAACTTATAAAGCTTTTCACATAGAGATCTCAAATTAAAACACATCCATCACTGGGCACTATTTCCTACCATGCAGTGAGGAGTAATTTATACTGAAATGGTTCTATTCTGTATATTTAACTGACCCCCAATACAGTTAAAAATAATGGAAAAAACAAGTCTTGCCGTATACCTAAAAGCACAGTAAGGATGAATCTGGAAGGCCTTACATTCTGCTGGCAGAATAATATCCCACATGCCAAAAATACATACCTTCATTGCAAGAGCAATTAAGGCTCCTTCAGTTGGCTTTCCCATCAGAGTGTTGTTCCTAATTACAGCATCATTGCACACACAGCCCGCCTAAAAGAAATGTACATGAACTATAAACCCATCACTCTGGCTTAAGTCATTATGAAACAAGTTAGCAGTTTGGGCAATGTAATTTTACCTCAACAATTCTGCTAACAGCTGGGTTATAGAATCCGTGAACAACATCACCATCAACAATGACTTCACCAAACTGATTATAGCCAACTCCAGTAACCTGAGAAACATGAAGTCAGATTAATGACACAAACAGTACAATAATGAGACTTAACTGCAGCCAAACAACACCCTGAGCTATATTCATGTCATTTGCTAGTCATGCTTTGGGAATACAAATGCTTGGAGACACAAATGTTTAACAATAAAACATATCTAAAACTAACAATTTAATGTTAGAGGAACAGAAATTCTATTTAGGATACTAATTAAGCTAAAATGATATTTTTGTCTACTTAATAATACATCACATATAGACAAGAAAACAATGAAAAATCTCTCACATAAGTGAACTTAACTTCATATAACAGTGTACTACAGCTTGCAAAAACCCTAAAAGCCACAATTACCACATGCCTCTCACACAGACCCAAGTACGGGTAACAGCTGGAACCTGGTTTCCAGGCAGTCTTAAACAGAGTGAAAGGCTCACCCTGGAGTTAACAGACTGCTCTGACAGCACAGTATATGGTCATCCTAAAAACCATACAAGCAACACACCCAGCAACCCAAGTGGCTAGAATCTAGCCAAACAGCAATCACAATGAAAATACTAAAGTTAAGAGGGGGAAAAACAAGAAATCATTTAATGTTTAACATACAGTGCTGGACTCTGAAGAGGCACTAATATCTTGTCTGCCATACATTCAAGCACAGGTACCTCCAACTGCACTTCGCAAAGAGCAGCACATAACAGCATCAGGTTTCCTCGAGCAAGCCTAACAACCTAGATTCAACAACCCCACTTTAATATTCAAAGTCACTAATTCAATAAGATTCTATAATCTCACTTTAAGGACTATGGAAAACAGACCTAAACAAACCCAAGCATAAACTTCTGTCGATTTTTCTAATGTTCGTTTTCTTTGATGAACTATCTGTAAATTTTAAAAATTCTGTGCCCTTCATAACTACAAAGACTGTTCTAATCAGAGAGTCTGCAAAGACTGAGAGGGCATACAATCTAGCCTTCTTCCAGCATCTAAAAGAAGTATAGTAGAGACTGTCAATATGTAAGTTTATGTAGTTAATCATTTATTGATTGATTCAAGTGCTTAGTATGTCGTGGGTACCGCTGGGGTGGTCAACATAGCTCCTGCTCTTAACAACTCATCACTTAATAGAAAAGAGGAAAGAAATTTTTGGCTGGGATAAAGACTGGAATGCAAAGAAAACATGGAGCATAGGGCCAAGTGCTCAATGCTCAGCAAGACTTTCCTGAAGAGGTGGGAGAATCAAAGCCAAAGATCAAGAGGCGCTTGGCTATTTTACACAGTGGGCAGGCAACGAGGGTCACAGGGTAAATTCTGTCCCACAGAACCATGAAGCTAGCATGTTTCCTGTATCACTGACTAGGGGGGATAGCTAAGGCTGGAGGAGGAAGTAAGGGGCAGCACAGCACCTTAAGATCCACAGTTCAGGATCCACAGCACAGCGGAAAAAAACGGAATAACTTAGGGGTGACATGCTCAATGCATCTCTACAAAAGGCTCTCCAAGCTGGAGGGGACGGGAACTCCACAAGGAGAGCAAAAGAACAAGATAATCTGAACACAGGGAACTTCCCAGAAAATCATACTCTAACCAAGGACTATTCGTGGAGATGACCTGGAACCCCTGCACAGGTGTAGCCCATGGCAGTTCAGTGTCCAAGTGGGTTACATAGTAATGGGAAGAGGGACTGCCTCTGACATAATCTGATTGGCCTGCTCGTTGATCACTTCCCCCTGAGGGGGGAGCAGCCTTACCAGGCCACAGTATAGGACAATGCAGCCACTTTTGATGAGAACTGATAGACTAAGATCAGAAAGAAGAGGAGAACCTCCCCTATCAGTGGACTTGGGGAGTGGCATGCATGCAGAAAGGGGAGGGAGGGTGGGATCGGGAGGGGAGGAGGGAGGGGCTTATGGGGGGATACAAAATGAATAAAGTGTAATTAATAAAAAAATAAAAAATAAAAAAAAAGGCTCTCCAAGTACAGAGTGTGGGAACCAAAATAAATGCAAAAAAACTAGTCGAAAGGATGTATCAAAATACCAGGTGAGAGAAATGTAACATGGCCTAGAGAAACTAGCTATAAAAAGATAGGCAGGTCACTTAGTAGGTCAAGACTGGCAGGACTTGGTGATGAGCAGATGAGGGAGGGATTTAAAGAAATGCCAAGGGATCCAAGCTTCTATATTGCACACACAACATGAAACGCGTGATGAGATCACACGTGAAGAAAAGAGATTTTGGAGATAAAGCATTGGAATTGTTGAGCATTTTAAACACGAAGTTTATTAACAAGAGAAGACTATTTTTAAAAACATAGAAACTGAATACCTCGGCATGCAGGCCATCTGAAGTAAAGATGTGAGTAACAGTCATTTCATTCTTCGTCAGGGTTCCAGTTTTGTCTGAACAAATCACATTGCAGCAGCCTAAAAATACATCACTAGGTGTCACCGCAAGAACCAGACAAAAACCGATTATCTCAAAAAAAGTGAATGAACACCTGGAAACAGTGTTCTAGCCCTCTAAATTCACAAGCCTTTGGTAATTATAATTTCTTACATTATGTTTGTTTCATCATAAGGTAAAGAAACAAAATTTAGATGTTTACTTTTTCTTAGGTCCTACAAAGCTACTTCATATTAGTTTCAGCCAATGACATTCAGAATACATTTTCTAGGAAGTCTGAAAGAGTCTGACTTTTAAACCCACAGAATTTCTTCAGTCAGAGTTTTTCAAGGTATTACAAACAATAAATTGAATTTAAAACACTTTGGAGCATCAAACTTTTTTAAAAAGTGGTATTTTAAGAATAAAACTGTTCAATCAATACAACCAGGATATACTTATTGTTCTTACAATAACAAAGTCAACCCAAGGAGGAAATTTTGAGCTTTGTAATTATCAAGTGTCAAAAAAAAAAAAAAAGGTGTTAATTTTGCTCCAAGACTTCATTTGTAATATGGAAACCAAAACATGATCTAAGTATTAGCATACTCCATAATGTATAAAAGATTCCTCCTGAGAAATGAATTTTTAATTGCTTATTTTGAATGTTAAAACCAATCCCATTATTGCTGGGGCCTAGCATCTTTATGACATTAATAACAGAGAAATTGTAAAGTACAGTGACTTTCTGCCTCAATGCTCTTCATAACACTTACCCAGCGTTTCAACAATAGGTAGTTTCTTCACAATGGCCCTTTTCTTCACCATTCTCATAACACCAAGGGCTAGTGTCACTGTCACCACAATAGGCAAACCTTCAGGAATTGCTGCTACAGCCAAACTATAATCAATAAACAAATTTAAATAAAATTAAAATGTAAGTTTATTAATGTTATCACAATAGTAATTCCTTCTCCTGCTTCCTAATGTTAATATTCTATAACCACAATTTACTTTTCTCATTCTTTTGTTTAGAGGCTGATTATAAGGGCTAGAAACAAGGAACATTTAGAAATACTTGGTATACCAGGCACCCTGACATGAACACTACCTTTTTTCTCTTGTTTAAGCAAGGTGAAATGAAATCACTTGCTCCTGGGCTTCCACTAGCCCTTACTGTACCAAAAGGCACACATCATGATTTATAATCCATATCAACAAGCCTTTTCAATCTTTCACTCTTAAGTCATTTTACAGATAACCTACAGAAGAATAGATTAGGAACAGCTTCATTAGAATCTTTTTGAATCTTACTCCAAAACTATTCCTTGTTTTGACAGTCCATATACCTGAAGTGGGTAACATCCTCTGGTTCAGTGGACTTTCCCACTGGAATTAATAGAGTGTAAACAGATTTCAAGACATTCCCAACAGATTCTTACAATCCTGGCTCTTCTTTGATGGTCCTGGTGTTTGGGGTTGCTTTTTACTTTTTGTTTGTTAGGGTCTCATAACCCTGAACTAGCCACAGATTCAGATCCTCCTGCCTCAGCTGGGTAGCAAGTGTGGGCCCCAATATCCAAGAAGGTACACTTCTGCAGCTGTTTTGTCAGCAAGCAACGCTTCCAAAAATGAGGGCTCTTAGCTTACTGGGAAAGGACAGAACTGTGAAATATTTCTGTTCTTAGATTTTGTGACATCAATTACGGTGGTAATTTTCCCACTTCTGCATAACATTTCTTTGTAATCACCGTTATACTCAGACATTTTTCCACTTACATGTAAGTAGAATAAGTGAACAAAAATAGGCATCATTAAAAATGAAAGAATGTCATCATATATTGTTTTTGTAAAAAGGAATGGTCTAGGTTCTTATTGGAGACTTTATGTGATAAAGTCCTTGGTGCAAGACTAACGGGGAGAAAGGGCCTTTTCTGTTTTGTCCTTAGATGCCCTCTGCACACTCCTCAACTCAGGAGCTTATAGCCCTGATGCTTCAATTACATGGTTAACTTCATCCATTTTAAAGCACAAAGAATTTCTAGCTGGTTTTCTGTATTCTCTTTTGTCTGATAATTGTCTAGTTCTGTCAATTTTCCTCTTTGTCATTATGGTACAAATTTCTAGAATTCTCACCTTTGTTCAATGAATGCCTCAAAAATTAAGTGATTAAAACAAAACGAAAAACAAAAACCTACAAAGACCACCTTTAAAATACCTTTTATATTTTCTTGTATGGTAATGGGATAGACTGGTCAAAAAGCAAACAAGAACACCTGAAAGAATTAGTAAGATACTGATGGTGTATTACTACATCAACCTTCAACTTCCATGCAATTCCATTATTCTTTTGTACTTCACTCATTTTCGGTACATAGAGAAATTATTGTTAAATTAATTCTTAAAATGTTTCAAGAAATGAGAAAAATTAGATCACTAAAGATTCCTTCATGAATCTTACATTTATACATGAATCCAATGGACCCATAGTTTTTATTCTCTAATCTTTTTTTAAATTTTTAGAATGTTGACATATCCTGGAAAATTTTTGAAAAAATACTGTGAATCCTTATAAACAGAATTAGTTTTAAAAAGGGGTGAGGAATACTGAAGAATTACCATATGCTAACAGTACCTCAAACATATTCCCCATTTTTATTTCATATTTAATGCCCCCCACAACACACAGTTTTTAGAACAAGAGTTTTAGCTTGTGCTCTAGCTGCTTTACTATGTCACAAATATCTTCAAGAGGTGGTATCTCTTTTCTCCCTATATATTCCTTCTGTACTGAATTTGTCCTTTGGAAATAAACACTGATTCCGTTGTTTTGTTTTGTTTTCTTTTCTTTTAATACTTGAATTTTTCCATACTGGTCTACTACAGAGAAATGCTCCTCAGAATTCATTTTCCTTAAGTTGCCTAGTGAGTTCTATCCTATCAAACATGCCCATACATCATTTCCCCCTTTACTCCCCTTTACAAATATCCTGAGCATTTGCTCTAACTAATTAAACTAATACTTGAGCTGGGTGTAATCTACAGATTTATAATCATAGTCCTCTGCTGTTGATAATCAGTGCTCCATCATCTTACAATGTAATCTGATGTTGCTATATATGAAAAATGAATGTTTCCCTTTCTTCACCTGATTAACTCTTTCATCTTTTCTCCTAGTGACCTGATACAGAGTATTGTCCAATTTGTCATTGGGCCACACTATTTATAATAAAAGGGATCTGCTGACAATCCATCCCTGAGCTGAGAAAATCATATTATCTTACAAGAAGCCACAGTCATATATTATCTGAATACAGTAACTCTTTTAAGTACACCTGCTTCTTGCAAGCACTTGGTGGTAGATGAGGCTAACTGTAACCCAGGAATGCCTGAAGTGGGAACCTTTATGCCAGTGTGCCTGCGTGAACAGCTGCATGCTCTGCTGTCTTCAGGACACAAACACCACATGTGGTCTGTGAAGTGCTAGGTTATAGCACTTGTAGAGGGAATTCACAGATAATGAGAAGTCTGGGAACCACCCATCTATACTTGTGCTATAGCCGGCTTGTGTTTGTCAGCCTCAGATGATAGATGGGGTGTAGCCTACAGACTTTTCCATCTGGCTTGGTATATGATGAATCCACTCAGTCTTGAAACACCCAGGTTGCGCTTTATCTTAAGAAGACACTCATACTGTTTCCAGCATGGTTTCTTCTTACTTCCTTTTTGGAAATCATACTTCCTGAAACTTTCCTTGTTATTTTTGTCTCATCTTTCAGGAGTTTTGTTTTAGCTTTTGGTTTTTGTTTTTCTGTTTTATCTCTTGAACTTCACACTGAATTTTTAATTTCAGCAATCAGGATCTTACATTTCCAGAAATTCTTTGTTCTCTACAACAATCTGTCACTCTTCAATGGATGGCAAAAGATACTTGATGTTTAGAGATTTTTCTTTTTCTTTGGAGGCTGATTATTCAATTATTACAATATGAAATATGGTTTTCTCTTTCATACTATGAGCTTTTGAACATTTCTTGCCTAGTTACAAAAATACAATAATGAGTTAACAGTCCAGTCATTTTGTCTGCTTTTTCTCAGACAAATAGTTTTCCATTTTCCCATATTACTTCAATATATGGCTTCTGTGAGGCAAATATCATAGCTATATATACACTATATACACACAGAAAGAGGATATGGCTTTTGAACTATTTAAGTAGAGACATTATACTCCTATGAGCTCCATCTAAAGCCAAGCTGCATGATTAAATAAACTGTACTAAGAAAAGAGAGGCAAGAGCCTGCATCTACAAACAAGTATTAGAACTTACCTTACACTAATAGTAAACATTTCCAGAATGTCTTTTCCTAGTAACCAGCCAACCAACATGATGATACCTAGAACAAAATCAAATACTTACAATCACCAACAAAGGATAAATTAACAAGCTCCAGGGTAAAAGAAAAGTCTCCGGACAGAGAAGGAAAAGTGTATCAGATCACAATGAAGGCCTTGCAGAAATTACTAAGCAGGATTAAAGTCCCTACAGGCTGTCCTGAATGGGTGTGTGCAAAGGCTATAGCTTCACCTCCGGCTCTGCTACTCCCATTTATCTCTTACAACATAACTGACAGTTAAAGGATTGACAGCATTTTCATAGAATGGAATTGGAGACAGATCTAAAAAATACATTTACTATCAACTTTGCAAACTTAACACTGTAATTTAACTTTACATACATTAATATGCAGATATCACACATGAAGTTTGTACTTCATATGAAGGTTTATTTGGGACTACCTTAAAGAGACTGAGATTTCTTACTAAAATCCTCTTCAACTTGCCAAATTCACTAAAAGCACCTGTAAATAGCTATAACTGAATAAAAGACGCTATAGAAAAACACATCAGCTAAAAGCGAAAGCATTATCTTTCTACCTCCCAAGGAGACAAATGTTTACCAAATAGCCATAAAGAAAACAGATATTTTAGGAATTGTTTCATTGAGATTACAAAAAGGAAAGGATTGATTTAAAATACATTATAACTTTTAAAACACTAAGACCTAACAATAAAAACAATGGGAGAATTAGGGGGAAAAATCTACACTAAAATTCTAAATTAATATATGTACTTTATATAAAAAGATGTTATTTCAAAACACTAGAAAATAGATTATAAAATTAATAGTACTAAGATAATTAACTTTGAGTAAGAAAGTTACAACTCTAACCTAAGCTATAAAATTTCAAGGATAAGTATTCTGTTAAATTTAAGTTATTAACAGATACATAAAAACAGAAGGTGCTTTTACACAATTCCATGCAATTTTGATGCCATTTTTGTAATACACAATGTTTAAAGCACAGAAAATACAGCTTTCTCATTAAAACAATTAGATATCATTCTAAACTTTTCTATTCACTCTTTGAAAGTTTTACACAAGTATATTAACTTCCCCCAGCTCCTCCGGGACACACATCCCCACACATATTTCCCCCTCAACTTCAAGTCTTCACATTTCCTTCGCAGTCCACTGAGCCCAATTAGTGTTGCTCTTATGCACATGGGTGCAGGGCCATCCACTATACTGTGGACAACCTACCATGGGCCCACCCTGACGAAAACTGACTCTGCTCATCAGCCACGACTGCCAGTAGCTCTTCAGTTCGGAGTGGGGCTTCAAGAGCCCCTACCCCTATGCCTACTAGAATATCGACTAGCTTGATCTTGTGTGAACTAATGAATTACCTAATTCAGCTGCTCAGAATTAATGATTGTAGTGGCCCTGTCACCTTCTGAACACACTATTTCTGATTCTTACAAATTTTCCGGCCCTCTTCTACATTACTCCCTAAACCTCAGCGGCAGTATGCTGGAGTGTCTCATCCTGAGTGAGCTATCCCAGAAGCAGAAAGATGCACACAGTATATACTCACTCATATAGACATATAATATAGGATAAACCTACTAAAATCTGTACATCTAAAGAAACTAATCAAGAGGGAGGACTCTTGCTAAAATGCTCAATTCCTATCCAGAAAGGCAAAGAGGATGGACATCAGAAGGAGAAAAGAAGGAACAAGTCAGGAGCCTGACACAAAGGACCTCTGAAAAGCTCTGCCCTGCAGACTATCAATGTAGATGCTGAGACTTATGGGCAACCTTTGGGCAGAGTGCAGGGAATCTTAGGAAAGAAGTGGGAAACAGTAAGATATGGAGAGGACAGGAACTCCACAAGGAGAGCAAAAGAACCAAAAAAATCTGAGCACAGGGGTCTTTCCTGAGACTGATATTCCAACCAAGGACTATGCATGGAAATAACCTAAGACCCCTGCACAGATGTAGCCCATGACAGTTCAGTATCCAAGTGGGTTCCATTGTAATAGAAACAGGGACTGTCTCTGACATGAACTGATTGGCCTGTTCTTTAATTACCTCCCCCTGAGGGGGAAGCAGCATTACCAGGCCACAGAAGAAGACAACGAAGCCACTCCTGATGAGACCTAATTGACTAGGATCAGAAGGAAGGAAAAGAAGTCCTCCCCTATCAGTGGACTTGGACTTGGGGAGGGGCATGCATGCAGAGGGTGGAGGAAGGGAGGGATTGGGACTGGACAGGAGGAGGGAGAGAACCACAGGGGGGATACAAAGTGAATAAAGTGTATGAAAAAAAAAAAAAAAAAAAGACCTGCAGTTCAAGGTCATCTTTGGCTATAGAGTAAGTCTGAAGCCACCATGGTCTACCTACATGTTACCATAGTAGTAAACAAGTATTAAAATTTAAACTTATATAGTGGCTGGAGGTGTAGTTCTAAAGTAAGCATTTGACTAGCATGTGTGAGAGCCTGGGTTCAATCACCAGCACCAAAAACAAAGCAAAGTAAAAATTTAAATAAAAAGAAATTAAGAATATTTCTACAGCATTATTCTTCAAGTAAACACACACACACACACATATATATATATGAGGATGGGAGCTACTATGGACGATTAAAACTTAAAATTACTTGGATACCAGTTACCTCAACAATTTTACTTCTAAAAGTGTATCCAACTAAATAAACAATGATTACAATATACTATTAATGATCTGGCTGGAAGAATAATGGCTATGAATTAAAAATAATCAGAAAATCTAATAACTGAAAATATGTCTTGTTAGAAAACAGAATAAATCTGTTTTCTGCTTTACATCATCAACTTGGTGATACGATGTTTACAATAGAATATCTGAAACAAAAGGAAGGAAGGAAGGAGAGTGAGTGAGGAATAGAGGGAAGAAGGGAAGGAAAAGGACAGAAGAAGGGGAACAAAACAAAGAAGAGCCAACAACACCATCATAGCTAGAAAGATAAATACTAAAATGTTTAGAGAAATATTTATTGACTATACATAGGAATTACACAATTCTTGTTTTATCTGTTTCCAGAGTTGGTTTTATAATTTAAAAAAAAAAAATTAATACCAGGTGAAAAGGAAACATGGGGGCAAAATAATTTTACCCTTCACACTCAAAACAGAAAACCCAAGAAGCAAACAAAATGGCTCGGTGGGTAAGGGAGCCTGTCATCTCGCCAGACAACACGAGCTCAATTCCTAGCAGCCAGAAGCTGAAGGAGAGAACTGACTTCCACAAGTTGTTCTCCGGCCTCTAAGCATGTGCACATACATGTGCAAAATAAATAACTAGGAAAAAAAAAAGAAAAGAAAACCCAAATAAGAAATGTATACATACTAACTCTTCTCTTACCTATTATACCAAAGGAGTAAAAGGACAGCTGTTTGCCTAATAGGTCCATGCTCTTCTGCAGAGGAGTTTTTGGTGCCTTGAAAAATTGGAGAAGACTGTCACAATAAGTTAAATTTAAAATATTTTCCAAATGCCAGAAACTCTGTGAAGTACTTAGGTGCACATTCCTGAGTTAAGCATTCAACTCTCGTAGAGGTTAACCCTCCACCTTCACTGAAGAAACTGAGGCTGACACACAGTGCAGTCACACGGAACCTGCGAAAGCTTTCCACTTTAAAGACCTGGCGGACTTGAAAAGGTTTCTCAAAATGCTTCCGAGTTAAAAATCTCAAAAATAAATAAATAAATAGATAGATAGATAGGTAAATAAATAAATAAATAAATAAATAAAATGAGATAAAATAAAAAAGGAAAAGAAAAAAAAATCTCTCCTGCCAGCTTTCCAAGACTTCATTGCTATCAGCTGTTCATGTCATTTTCCAATTCTCTTCTCTATAGCCACAAACATGCTGGTCACCCAGGTTTATGTTTTACTCTGTGCCTCACGCCCTGATCTGCTAACATTCTTCAGTGATCTTTCACTGCCAAGCTTCTTGTTCCACATTACATCACAAATTGGTCTTGGTAAGTTAGCTAAGAAATCCACATGATTTTCAAAGAGCACAGCATTTACAAAATGCAACTTTTAAACACACACACACACACACACACACACGTGTTAAAATGTTGAGTAGAAGATATTACCTGAAATAAACACACAACAGTAATCCTGGGGATGAAGGGTGACATCATGGCAGAACATGTGCTGAGCACATGCTACACATTGGGTCAAATAGCTACCCAACATAATAACATAACAGAACCGTTTTCTCTAAGAAATAAAACCTATGTAAAAATTGGCTATAAATCTCTTTCTAATATAAACAATCATAAAAATTAAAAACTTTTAATTCAACTTGGGCCCTTCCAATTTGGGGATTTCCAATTGAGTTTGCATACAAAGATAATGAGCAATATCCTGAAGAAAATACAGTTTTCAACAGTATATCCAAGAATCTGTAAATACTTACTTTTTCACTACTTAAGATAGAAAATTACAGATTTGAAACAAACCAGTGACATAGCAAGCACTCACTTCTTCTGCTTGCATCATCTTAAAGACTTCTCCAAATTCAGAATTTTCTCCTGTTCCAATGACAATACCCTAAAGGTAAAAACAGAGAAATTCATTTCTAGTCAGATGGAATTACTGCTGACCAAAGAAAGAAGAAAGAGAAGGGGATTGGGAAAAGAGGTGGAGAACAAAGATCTTTCATTTCCTTTCTTCGGTCTTAACTCCAGACTTGAGCTATCTATATTCTTAAATCCCTTTGCAAATTTACATGTTTACATTACTCTTATTAATATTTACTCCTTTATAATACAGACCCTGGAAACAAAGTGACCCGGATCTGAGGCCCATGTTTTAAAATTTAAGTGTTTCATACTCAATAAACATTTAATTCTGCTTCCTGTAGTCCCCCACTGCACTCCGCTCCTGTGAATGAATCGTGACTTTTATATTGGAAAAGTATCAGAAACCAGGAAACAAAGTAGTTGAAATACATCACTGGTTGAAAAATATGTAGTCAGAACATTATTAGAAGTACTACATTAAAAAATAAAAATAATCAAAAAAGAAGAGAAAGAAAGAAGAAATAGGTAAGTGGAATAGTTCAGCAAATAAAGGCTCCTGCTGCCAAGTCTGATGATCTTCATTTGAAGCCTTGCAGCTACACAGAGGTAGAAACAAGTGACTCCACAAATTTGTCCTCTGACCAAGTATCTTTTAAGTTTTTTAAAAGAATAGAAAAACTTTTTTTTTTAAAGAAACTGCTTTCTTTAAGAGAAAAAAATGATCATCACCTTTGCTTTGCCACATCTGACCAGCGTTCCCATGAAGGCAATGTTACTTCTTGATGCAAGATCTCCATTAGTAGCAGCTGCTTGAGGAGCTGTCACCTTAGAACAAGGAGTTGTCTCTCCTGTCAAACTGGACTCATCAATGGAAAGATCCACAGCCTGGGAAAACAAGTGTTCCACAGATTTAAACTTACAATGCATTTCCCATTTCAGAAGTTCATGACCACCATTTCTTACAGCATTCATATTCCAGCCATTACATCGTGTTTTATAGCTATTACTTTAAGACAAAAGACCAGCTCGGTATAACCATATATGTTAAATGAAGCCAACAACACCTGACACATGAAACAAAGAATGCTTACCATAAGAATAGGTTAGCATAAAATTCAAAATACTACTAAACAGCTGACACTACATCTAAGAAATTTTCCTAGCACAACATTATTGCTTAGTTTTGTCAAGTCTCAAAGTATTCACCTTTCTAAGCATAGAAAAAGCCATTTTAGGTGAGGAAAATATTATTTATGTGATCTAGATCTATTTTTGAAAGCAGAGCCCATAAAAAGAGTATTTCCCAAGTATAGGGAGCAGAGAAAGCCCTGAGTGAATGCAGTACTTGGGGAGTGGGGGGGGGGGGGGGAGTGCTGACATAGGCACACTCATGCCAAAGACCAGAGCCTCAACCCCATGGGAATGGCAAAGCCTCCTCCTTCACCCTCACCTTGGGAGGATCAGAATTTAAGCCTCAGAAACCACACACAAAGTCAGGCACGGTGGTGGCATGGGCTTGTAACCCCAGTGCTAGGAAATGCAGACAGGAGCCTAGGGCTCACTGACCAGCAACCGTAGACTAATCTGGAGCTTCAGAATCCAGTGAGATGCCTTGTCTAAAAAAACAAGGTTGATAGCATCTGAGGAATGACATCCAGGTTGATCTCTTGTCTCCAAACACAAACATGGGCACTCACACATATATACACACACACAAAATATATTTTTAAGGATATTGAAATTCATTTTATCCCTTAGCAAACACTATGTATTGCTGACTTTCTGACTCAAGTGCTTAATGAAAAAAAGGTCCCTGCGATTTTGATAAGTAGATTTTTTTAAAACATGTCTATTATCTGCAAGCCGCCACAGAGAATCTTATACCAACACGACCCTGGGGGCTGGAGCTATGGTATAGCAGTTATGAGTACTAGTTGTTCCTCCAAAGGACCCAGGTGTGAACCTCAGTATAGCCGCTCACAACTTTCTGTAAAGCCAACTCCACGGAATCTGAGAAGCTCTTTCAGCCTCCCCAGGCACCAAGCATGCAAACAGTGCACCAGCACACATAAAGGCAAACCACCAATAACCATAAAATAAAATAATAAACTTAATTGAAAAAAAAATATTGAGTATGGCTGATTTCACCAGAAAAAAATTAACTAGCATAAACCCTCCATAAGAAAGCCTATACATCAAACTTAAGACTAGAAAAACCTAAGTGAACTGTTAACTATGCTCAAAGAATTAACAGAACAAGAAACATAATTTATAGAAAATAGCAACAGAAAGTACGTGAGGAAATAATTAAAAATCTAGGAGTAGGGACTATAGCTCAATGGTAGAACACTGACATAGGTTGCATGAGGGCCTAAATTATATAGGACATGACAAAGTTCAATCAGTATCTATCATATAAACCAGAAACTGAAAATAAAAACTGAACAAGAAGTGATCTAGAAATCCCTTAATCAACATTAAAATTTAAAAATTAAAAAAAAAAAGCAATCAACAACTCAAAGAAATGGAACAATTAAAAATCACCAGTCTATAAACCAGGAACTCAAAACAAAAACTGAACAAGAAGTGACCTAGGTCACTTAATCAACATTAAAATTTAAAAATTAAAAAAAAAAAAAAAAAAAAAAGCAATCAACAACCTGAACAATGAGACAATTAAAAATCACCAGTCTGGAGGCTGGGGGTTGGTTCAGAGGTTAAGAGCACTGCCTATTCTTCCAGAGAAGCCAGGCTCTTTTCCTAGCATCAATTTGAAGGCTCACATCTATCTGTAACTCCAGTACCAGAGGATCAGACAGATGTCCTCTCCTGACCTCTACTGGCACTAGGCATCTCTGGTGCCCAGACATGCAGAGAGGAAAAAAATACTCATAATAATAAATTTTAAATAAAAAATTAAATAAGAAAAGCTTAAGAAATCACTAGTCTAAAAAGCAGAATGGAAAAGATAATAAGAAAAAAGAATACAGATGTATGATTTGTGTATGAGACACTGGATCTCTATGTAGGAAACCATCAAGTAAAACAAGACATTGCAAGCATTTCAGAAGAAAAGTGGAGAGGCAGAAAGACTATCTGTACATATAATAGCTGGCAACTTCCCAAACTTGATAAAAGGCACAGATCTAAATAGTCAAGAAGCTCAGTCAATCCACCATGAGGCAAATTATTTAAAAAAAAAAAAAAAAAAAAAAAAAAAAGCCTGGCACAACGGCACATGCCTACCTCTCAGGGAAGCAAGTTTGAAGCCAGCCTGGGCTACAAAGTGAGCCCAGGACACCCAAAGCTACACAGAGAAACCCTGTCTCGGGAAAAAAAGCAAAACAAAACAAAACAAAAAAAAATGCTGATGTCAAAACTCTTTAAAAACAGCAGGAAAACCAAGCCCTATCATGTATTATGGAGTCACAAAAAAGTAACAATCTAATTCTTATCAAAATCCAAAAAAGAGGTTTAAAGAGCTGGCTCAGAAGTTAAGAGTATTTGCTGCTCTTCAAGAGGACTGGGACTTGGTTCTCAGAAATCCACCAGGGGCATTTCTTGCATGAAGATAGAATGTACTCCCCACCCTATTTTTGAGGCAAGGGTTCTCCCTGAACTGAAAGCTCACAGGGATGGTTAGTGTCCTCAACTTGACAGAATCTAGAATCACTCAGGAGACGGGCTTCTAAGCATGTCTGTAGGGCAGTGGTTCTCAACCTGTGGATGATGACCCTTGGGGGGGGTCACATATCAAATATCTTGCTTTATCAAATATTTACATTATAATTCATAACAGTGGCAAAATTAGTTATAAAGTGAAATAATTTTATGGTTGGGATAAATAAGATAAGGACCTATACTAAAAGGTCACAACATCAGGAAGGTTGAGAACGATGGTTGTAGGGTAAGATCTTAATTACATTAACTGAGGTTGGAAGACCTACCCACTAGAGGCAGCACCATGCCCTAGGCAGAGGATTCAGAACTAAGAGTACAGGAATCAAAACAAGCTGAGTGCTAGAATGCATACAAGATAGCCAACTGCTCCAAGCTCCTGATAGCTTGCCTTCCCTGTCATGATGGACTATAACATTGAACTATGACCTAAAATGTTTGTGTCCAAGTATTTTACCATAACTGCAGGAGAGACACTAATATCATGTGGCTATACTGGCTGGCCAGCAAGCACCCAAATCTACTTACTTCCACCATAACTCTGAGGTTCCAGACATAGGCAGATATGCATGGGTCCTAGAGATTCAAATTCAGGCTTTCTTTCATACAGTACTCTAACCCACGCAAACCGTCTCCTCAGCCACAGGGATCACATTTCTTAAACTATAGGTCATGACCCAGGTTGAGATCACATTAATTGTAAGGGGTCATGAAAAATTTGGCACAAGTGAAATATTTCTCAACATTCAATAAACAGAATACATTCCACATCAAATGCATAATGAATCTGAGTTGTTTCTGCCAGGACTCTGGCATGGGATTAAGGCAAATTTTTCAATAATTTCAGAAACCACCCTAAACATGCTTCTGCCATTTTGTGCTATGTTGTTTATGCAAAGTGGCATTCTCAGCATTAAAGATCATTAAGTGAAAATACTGATGAATTCTGGAAAGTGTCTTGCCAGACCAACTCATCAGGCAGAATTTAATTCCTTTTTGAAAAAATGATTTATTTACTTTTATTTGACCAGTGTTTGCCTACATGTATGACGTGATGGCTATCCTTACCTACACTGAGCACTTCCTCCATGGAAATGACAACACTGTCCTTACTGGAGTAGACACTATTCCAGCTACAAATTGGCCTTTCCTGCACACAAACATCTGCAAAACCACTACACGTAGACTGAGAGAATGGCTTGTCCACAATACTGTATTCCATACTGTATTGCTTCTGACCAAGAAACTCATTTCTCAGCCAGAGAAATATGAGAGGTCCCACGATCATAGAATCCACTAGTCTTACTAGGTTTCCTACCATCCTTCAAGCAGCTGGCCTGACAGAAAGACAGAATAGCCTTTTGAAGATACAGTTATATCACCAATTAGGTGGTGGGGCAGAGTTCTCCAGAAGGTAGGCAGTATATGCTTTAAATCAGAGTCCAATAAATGCTATGATTTCTCCCATAGTCAGGATCCACAGGTCCAGATATCAAGGGATGAAAAATTAAATACTTGTACTCACTATCACCCCCAGTGACTCACTAGGAAACTTTCTGCACCCTGTTCCCACCAGGGGGAGGTGTAAGCTTCCAGTTCAATGGAATGTTTGTTATAATTCTTGGCAGGACTACTCTTCCCACTAAAACAAAAACTTCTGGGCATGACCACTAAGAAGATAACAGGAGTGTGATGGTTATTCTCTGTTGTCAACTTGACAGTATCTGGAATTAACCAAAATCCAAATTTCTGGACACACCTGTGGAGAATATTTTTCTTGATTAAATCATTTGAGGTAGGAAGACCTACTTTGAATCCAGATCTTTGAAGTGGGAAAACACACCTTTAATCCACATTTTTGGGGGTAGGAAGACCACACCTTCTGGTAGTAGGTAGTCTATACGCAGGACATGAAAAAGGAAGCTTGTTCTCTCTGTGCCTTAGAGCTCTTGCTCTTGCTCTCATTGGCAGCCTATTCCTTCACTGGCATTACAGCCTCTTTTTCAGGATTCCAGTGCATACTGAAGACCAGCTGAGATATCCAGCCTTATGGACTGAACAACTCCTGGATGGATTCTTGGACCTTCCATCGGTAGACAGCCATTGTTAGACTAGCTGGACCATACCCTGTGAGCCATTTTAATAAACCTCATGTGCGCACATGTGTGAGTATGTATAGAATATGTATAGAAATATTCATATTCATACACAAACATTCATTCTATGAGACCTGCTCCTCAAGACAACAACAACAATAACTAATAAATATGCACATGCATCATATGCATCACTGGTGCTCACAGGCCACAAGAGAGAATCAGATCCCCAGAAACTGGACACTGATGGTATGAGTCCACATGTGGTTGCTGGGAATCAAACCCAGTTCTCTGCAAAGAAGCAAGTGCTCTTAACCACTAAGCCATCTCTCCAGCCCAAAATTTAATTCTTTGTGTAAAAATTAAAAAGTATCTTCATCTTACTGGTAAACCTGTTTTTCCCTTTAATAAATGGTAAATTATATGCATATTGAAGAATTGTTTTAAGGGCTTCTTTGTGGTTTATTATCTATTAATGCTTGATTTACAGACATATATACCTACATTTAGAGTCACAGAAAAATTTCTCAGGTAAAAAGAAGTCATGTTTCAAGTATAAGTGGAATGAACTACTTATATATCCATAAAACAGAAAATTATATGGAGATACAAAGTATTAACTAGATAAAGTACCTGAAAACATGTTAAGTGAAACAGACAAACAAATAAACAAAAACTATGTATTATACTATTTAAACTAATGAAATGTGTAGAATAAGCACATATCTTAGTGTCAAAAAAATCAGTAGCTGTCAGAGGTAAGAACACAGTGAATGTTAAAAGATAAGGAGTTTTCTTCAGAAAGTGATGAAACTCTTTACAAACTCTTTATAATTAGACTATGGAAATGGTTACAACACTCTGAATAGACGGTTATACTTCAACGATTGTCATATGTGACTTAGATCTCTAAAAATACTAAGGGCAAGTAGGGTGGCTTCAAGCTGAGGAAGAAAAAGGACAGCTTGAACTATATTTTAAGAGCCACTCTGATCTATATTTAAAGAACCTATGTTCTTTAAAGATCTATATTCAAATGAACCTGTCTCAAAAATATAAACAACGGATTTTTAATGAACTGTAATGAGGTGGGTAAAATGACACTTTTGACAAGAACTAACTAGTACAGAATCTTGGGCCACCAGACCATGACCCCATAATTTCTATGCACCACCAGAGGAGGGATGCACTGTTAGGGAACTCTGCCTCTCACTGACAAAGTAAAATACACATTCAGTAGAAACCACGTTTCCATTTTTTACTTTGCTCTTTTCAAAGCTTGCGATATGCTCTTCTCATGTGATGCTGGGCAGTGAAGTATCAGACACAGCCTCATGAGTAAGTGGTCAATACAGTGCATGGTGGGCCTTAAGCATGACAGGTTAGGTACACGCAACTATTTCTGGCTTATAGTGGGTCTTTTGAGACACGATCTTACTGAGTCATGAAGCATCTCTACTGGAGTGCTCCCAGAGTTAACTCTCTTCCCCTTTCCTGCCCCACACTGTTTTCCATTATTGTTGCTATGTTGTGTAAGTCACACTGTTCCCAGGTACATCAGAAGTCATGTTTCTTCTCTCGGTTTCTACATTCTTTTAACTCTTACCTGATTACTGAGTTCATCTTACATTAAAACTGACCACATATAACTGGATTCCCTAATCAGCAAAATTTCATCATCTCTTTCTGTTTGCTGTAATACCTAACTCAGATTTCCATAAAAGTATACTAACTGACCAAGCAGATGACTCTGAAGATCACAGCAGAAACAGACACCTATGACAAGTGAGGAAGGAGCATGCGCCTGCTTGTCACCATTTCAGTCAGAATACTAAATACTTCAGACAAACTACGTGTTAATCATTAGAACTGCTAAACCTTTAATTACTCAATATCCAGGTACCCAGCTACCCTCAACTTACCTCAAATAAGCGTAAGTCCGCAGGAACTCTGTCCCCCACAGACAGGCAAACTGTGTCACCTGGAACCAAGTCTCGGGCAAGTGTATGTTCCAATTTTCCTTCACGTACACTGCAACAAGAAACAGAAATCATCACAGTAAGGAAACTATACTATTTCTCTTTAAAATTACATTTAATTTTAGTGACTCTGTCTTAGGAGAAACATTGTTACTTCCAAAGAGGTAAGTCAAATATAAAAATTAAGAGCATGGGCTATAAAGACGGTGGCTTTTGCTCAGGACTCAAGTGTGGCTGGTTTCCAAGCACCCACGTGAGACAGCTCACGACTGCCTACAACTCTAGCACCCAAGAACCCAACACTTCCTGCCTCCTCAGGCACCTGCACTCACATGTACATACCACACATAGACACACACACACGCATAAATATAGTTTTAAATAACTTAACAAATTAACATATAAGAACAAAACAAGCTAGGCATCATGACACATTCCTTTAATCCCAGCATTTGGCAGGCAGAGGTGGTTTGAAGTTGGCCTGGTTTATAGAGCAAGTTCCAGACCAGCCAATGCTACATAGTAAGACCTGTCTTAAAAAAAAAAAAAAAAAAAAAGGTAATGGGGGAAGGGAATTCTTAGAAAAATTGATTGGCTACTCAAATATGAGATGTATTTCATGACACTGCGTCCATCATTTACTTAGCATGCTCGGCATGTAATCTCCCCTCACATGAGGAAGTCCTCTGGATGACGCACTTCAAGCACAAGCGAGCCACATTGTACACAGCAGCACCCTCAGCTATACCCCTGCCCTCCTACAGGGTGACAGAAACAAAGACAGAAACAAAGAGGATCCCCACAAGTTCCCAGGGGGCCAGAGTACACGGTGGTAAAGAAGAGGCTCTGCCTCGAAAAACATGGCAGGTGAACGCCAACACGAGGTAATTCTCTGGCCTGCCCAAGTGTGCCACGGTCCGAGCATGCCTACACTCACACACAAACAAACATGCGCCTGTTGAATGAACAAGGCTCAAAATCAAAAACATCTAAAGCAGTAGGATGTTTGTCATATTTAGTAGCCTCTTCTCCGTATTAAAACAAAGCTGGACAACAATACTTATGGTGCCAGTAACATTCAATTTCTATTTTTTAGGATGTAGAAATCTCTTTCAAATAAAAGGGTCATACCAATGGCATTCTGGTGGCACAAGTTTACTCAATTCTTCTAGAGACTTTTCTGAACGATATTCCTATTTAGACAAAAAATAGAATATTAACAAAATTACTTACATAGGAATCCAAACATATATGGTCTTTTTAGACTAAAATATTAATTTAAATTATTGCTTAAAAGTTTCTCCCAATTTATATTTTGATTTATTTATCCTTATACTCCTAACCCATAAAAACTTGTCCCTAAATTATAGTAACCAAAAAAATTACAAAAATTAAATATTCCCACTACACATTTTAAGTCAATGTACAAATCTATGATTAGAAGAAAATGAAAGCCAATTATTGCATCCAAAGAGTACATTGAAAGTTAAGATAATTGAGTCTTGTTTTTAAGTTAATTTTACATTTGGTGTTTAGTGGCCAAAGAAGGCAAACTATTACCCTGTATGTAATGTTTGCTTTGAGGATTTAAGCCCACACTAACTACACCAGAATGGAAACAACAACGTGGCAGAACTATTCTGACACTCTTCCCATCACCCTGAATTATAGGAAAGGAATGCTTCTGAGGCCGTCTAGTGCTGTTCTGCAGAGGCACATAACTGACAGCTATGGCTCAGACACAGCCTCCACCTCCCGGGCTACTTAGGCTAGGCTTCGGCAGCAGCTGTGCTTCATGCGGCGCCTGGGCCCTTCTTGTCTCCTGTCTGCAATGCGCACACTGAAGAGCTCCTATCCTCACAATACCCCACAGAGTTTGAGTTTTAACGTAGTCAGTGTTTTACATGGAGTGTGTTTTGTGTTTTAAATGTAGCTGGGATCTGTTGCGGATGTCTCCATGGTAGTTTTATTTACTGTGACACTAGCTACTTTTCTCGTTGCTGTGACCCAGTACCTGACAAAAGTAACTTGAGGGAGAAAGCGTTGTATTTGCTCTAAAGGATAAGGAACAAAAAGAGGAATGAAAGCTAAGTCTTGAAATATCTGCCAGTACTCGCCAATTCTACCCATCAACTACTTCAAATGAGAATGCAAAGCTGAGCAGGAATATCTCAGAACTACATCAACTACTATGGAGACAAGAGAGACGTAAGCAAAATATAAAATATAAAAAATTATTAGACATTCCTCTAAATACACCAACCATATTGAAGAATTTGGAAGTTTTATACAAAAATTCCATACAAGTAGAAAAGACTAACCAACTGTAGTCTCTAGTAACTAATCAACATAAGCTTCCAGTCTTTTTCTTTGCATAGTTACTGTAAGAGGTAGCACTCATTCTGTGACAATACAGAAGAGCCAGACATCTGAAGGGCTGGGTGTAAAGGCAAATGATTGGAAGAATGATTTCTAATTTAGTTGTAAAACAGTTTGCTGCTTTCTTAGACATGTTTGAGGAAAGGAGTCAAATCTTTATATAAAAAACATACTTATTAATTAAAAATGAAGCTTTTCATAACATTTTGAGGCTTTTTTAAATTTCCCATCTACTGGATAGTAAGGTAAAATGTCCAATAGGCTCCAGGGTTTGGCTTCTCGGTCCCCAGATGGTGGTGCTCTTTCTGATGGTTGAAGCGTTAGGAGGCAGAGCTTCACTGGAGGAAGTGGGTCACTCAAGCTGGTCTTGAAGTTGTATACTCTAACTCACTTGCTGCCAGCTCTCAGAGCCCTAACTGCAGATTTAAATTCAAGTTGCCACCTCACACTCCTGCCTCCTGCCACCACACCTTCCCTAAATACAACGCTTTCTCCCTCAAGTTACTTTTGTCAGGTACTGGGCCACAGCAACGAGAGAAAAGTAGCTAGCATCACATTAAATAAAACTGCCATGGAGACATCCGCAACAGATCCCGGCTACATTTAAAATACAAAACACACCCCATGTAAAACACTGACTATGATAAAACTCAAACTCTGTGGGTTATTGTCAGGATAGGAGCTCTTTATTTTCCAAAGAGGGCAAGTTGCTTGGGCTTTTCATTCAGCAGTAATACTTATATGGAATCTTTCATACACCTGATATATTAATGAAGATCCAAGAGGAAGCTGATTGCCATAATTTAGGGTGAGGGATTACAGTTACTGGCCTAGTATAGAATGTATCACACACTTAGCAGGAGTGAGCACCTTCCTTAGATGATGCAAAGCCTGGAATGACTTATGGTGTTTACCAGCCTAACAGCCCAAAGGCAACACTGTTGTAAGAAGATGACCCACCTTCCACCCTTCAACCTGAACCAGAACACTGGTGGTCTACTAAAGGAGCTCAGAACTTCCAAGTAACCAGACTCCAGCTGGCTTTCTACACAGTTACTACAGAACTAATAGCTTGCTGTGTCTGGAACTACTTTAAGATACCAGAACAGTGACAGAAGCACAAGAAATAAACTGTATATGGATAATTATAATCACTGTCTTAACACGCACAGCACAGGCCTCAGGACACACAGCACTATTACATTCTATACAAGATTAGTCCTGATTTTACTAGCCATATTCAAAGTGAGACCTATAATATCTGGAAACTTCTGAACACTTAAATAGACAGAAAACAAGCTTATAAAACTAAGCCTGTGTGTTTTTTTATCCCTACACTTGATAATCTGACAGAATGCCTGGTGTGTTTTTATCCCTATACTTGTTAATCTGACACCGTGCCTGGTGTGTTTTGATCCTTTCTTCCCACCCCCTCCTATTTTTCCTTTTCCACCTTTTCTCTCTTCAACAGTTTTAACATGTGGACTATGCTGGCCTGAAAATTGACAATCCTCCTGCCTCCACCTAAGTGTTGAGAAAGAAATCATAACACCATCTCCAGATTATTCAGAATAATCTTTTAAAAAAAGATTCCTCATATTTCTTTTGCTGTTTGAATGGGCATACAGAACAGGAAGCATAATCATCCCTCCTGAGGAAAATAAAATTTTAGAAGGACAGTAAAGGACTACCAATAATGAAGAAATAATTCTAATTACCAAACAAGACTAATAAGGTCAGCAAAAAAGTACATTGTTAACTAAGAGAAATCAAAGTAATCTAAAGTAATCTATGAAGCTTTCTTCAGATGGCACCTAATAAAGGGCCCATTCAATTCTGCACTCATTTTTTGTTTTATTCATCTAGACTTAGCCCTAATAGGTGCTGGCCCAATTTTATAACTGGAACTATAACTTTGAACCAGTGGATTATGTTAATGTGCTTTTTTTTTTTATTCCAGCTGTTTCAATCAAAGCAGCAGCCTGTCTTCATCTCACTACCTAAGTCAAAGCACTGCCTTCTTCTTACAATCCCCACAATTGGCTATTATCTGAAAATGTTTAAAAATAATAAATTATTAGGATATACACGACCACATAATAAATTCAGATTATTTGACATAACTCACTTGAATTTGTTTTTAAGTAATCAATTAGTATAGCACTCTCACCTTGGCAAAACAAAGTACTCACCTGAACAAAGGCCACAGTGACGACAATAAGTATTGCCTAAAAAACAAACAGCCTTTTAAATCAGAGAGTAACAAGAAGTAACTTTTAGCCACATTGCATCTCTCTGGCTAAGCAAGCTCAGGAGAATGGAATTCAGCACTAAAGCTAGTGAGAGAAGAGATCAATTTGCCTTAAGGCCTAAGGGAGAAGAATGTAACAGCTAACCAAACAGCTTCCAAAACTTTCTGAGCCTACCCAAGTCCTCGCAAAGTAAGGACTAGTTTGGTTTATGTGGGAAACATCTGCTATAGGTAACAAACTAATTACTTGTTTAATTTTAACTCCTACATACTAATTTGTACAACAAATTTAAAAATATATGTTAACACAAATAGCCTTTTATGGAAAAAGAAATTTAACTGGGAAAAAAAGCGGTCCTTTTTCCCCCCCATGCTGATTTGTCAAACATATGGTAGGCAAGGACTCTGCCTGGGATCTAACCCTGGGATCCCTGGGATCGACAGCCGGGATCCAACTGATGTGTTGTAAGGCAGAAGCAGCATAATATGGGAATTTTTTAATAAATCATGAGGAAAAAGAAAAATTAAGCCTCAGACCAAAAAAAAAAACAAAAAACAAAAACGGCGTATTTGTCTTTCAAGAATACAGACATTTTTATCTACCACACTAAAACTCCCCAAACATCATTTAAAAGTAAGTATTGTACAATGCAAAACTGCAACAATGAACTTTTCATAATCTGGCACATTAAAATCTATTATCCACCTATCTTTTTTCCAATTAAATCCATTGCTCGATTTTCTTCTACTGAAATTTGATAACCTCAGACACCAATCATTTAGAAAATGTTGGCTCATCTAGTTATTCAAATATAAATGCTGACATATTTACTAAATTGAAAACTTGCTAAAAATCACTACTAATGTCATTAGGGTTTTAAACATGGTAATGCACAAAAATTTACAGTAACTTGAATTACTACTTGAAAGCCTATTCTTATCACTAGCAAAATTATTCTTTTAAGAAAAAGCCTGGTTCACCTCACAACTGCCCTTCCTAGAGACAATTACTGTACTTCAATCTGTATTTGCTTCCCATTCATCACAGACTATTAAAAACATCCACACTCAACAGCCAGAGTTTTATGAAATTCACTTTACTCCTCTATCAAGAACTCCCAGATACATGAGAAAAGGGTTTTCTTTATTATGCTGGCCACAATACCCTGGGGCTCGCTATCCACCTGACTCTACCTCCCAAGTAGCACCGCTGCTATTAGATGCGTGTACTCCCACATCCAGGTATTGTAACTGTCTAAAGAGAACAACAGAGGAAAAAATGACTACAGCTACAGCTTAAGGCCACTGCCAATTGTGCTAAAGCTCACACAGTTTTATACATCAAAATGTTTGCCATTAACACAAAAGAAGAAAAATTCAGTGTTATTAAAATAGTTCCGATGTTACAGATTCCCTGAATAATTACTTAGTCAAAATATTTTCAACTGAAAAGAAATAGAATTGTTTTTATTTAACATGAAAACTATAAAATACTTCTTATACATCGTGAGACTGACTGTACGCGCCTGTAACCACACAACCCGGGAAGCTAACAAAACAGCACAGTTGAGCCCGGGAGGGCAAGCCCAGCCTGAGCAACAGAGGAAGACCTTCATCTCAAACAAAGACAAAAGAAAATCACTACAACTAAAAGTGGATTTAATTATTTTTTTAACTCACGTCAATTTCCAAAGTAAAAACCTAATTTACACCACAGATTAAAGATTAAACGTAAAAGGCTTTTCTTACCACAGTGATACTGACAGCATCATCAAATTGATGCATTAAAACACTGATGACTGCAGAAGCCAGAAGCAGCATAATGAGGGGATTTTTAAACTGGAAGTTAAAAAGAAACAATTCAACACTCTTGTATGAATGACAATCCTGCTTTATATCTCAATAAAGGCTTTTTTTTAAGCACATCATTGTAAAATTAGAAGAGTCTATATGTGATTTATTTTCAAGTTTAAAAGCTATATAACAGTTCCTTTTCAGAGAAGGAAAACTAAATATCAATCTAGAAACAAGGCCCACACAGGCCCCACCATCTTAAAGCTTCAGTTCTGCTGCTTTAGACAAGCACATGTACAAAGCTCTGCTCATTACCTGACAATGCCTTCATTAGAAAGGCTGAGAACTGCTCACAAGTATCTAATTAGTTAGTACACCAAACTTTCCTAGTTAAAACTAGCCATAGAATTGTCCGACTTTTTACACTAATGTAATTGTTAACAAATTTTTTTAAAGATAAAGGTAATTATGAACGGCCATAATCTGCTGTGAGCCTACTATTTTCCTGGTCATCACCAATGGAGAAAAATGGAAATCATAGATCATAAATGGCAGTTGGAATATAATTATGCATTTAATATATCTAAGCTGGCCAAGATGCCTCAACACCAGCCTTCTGTAGCTAGGAAGCCCACGCTTGGCATCCAAGAAGCCACAGTCTACTGGTGCTTGCTGACAGCACAGCAGTAAGAAAATGCTGCCCTGCAAGCTACACTCCCCTTTCATCAGCCTTTTACCTAAAATTAAATGGAGAGTCAGAACTTAAACTATAGAAATTCTAACCTAACATGTAAATTTGTAAAGAAAAAAAAAAAATTAACATTGTAAAAATATTTTCTTTTTCTCTAAGTAAAGCTCAGGAGAATCACAACTATAAAAGTCAATGTAAGCTATACAGCAGAGACAAAAGGGAAAGTATCTCACCTGAGAAATATACTTCTTCCATAGTGGTTCATCTTCACTGATATCAAACTCATTCCAGCCATGGAAGGCTCGCCTATGACTAACTTCAGATTTATTTAAGCCATTCTGAAGATCAGCCTATTAAATTTTACATTAAAAGTCATGTAAAATGTTAGTCAGAGAGTACAAAGAAAACATAAAAGAATACATTGTTGTGGATATAAATATGTTTTTGTTTTAATCCCAGGTGTGTGGCTGATTCAAACTGTCCACAGCAGCAGGCCATTTGCCTCATTCGGGCTCTGAGAGGGGCTTTTTGCCAGCTGCAATTAGTTGAAGTCTGAGGACTTTGAGGGGTATAAATATGATAGCCCAGAGACAGAAGGGGCTGCAGCTTGGAGGAGTTGGAGGAGAACTTCTTGCTGGCTTGCTGCTTACATTAACTTCTGCATTTCCTGAGGATGGATATTGGTATCACCCCAAAAGAATCCTATGACCCTAACCAGCAGGAAGAAGTAAGTAAAGAGGGTTATGTCCCCTTTCTTTCCCTTACAATCCTCTTTTTCCCCTACCTGGGGTTGGGAGTTGGATGAGAGGTATAAGTTTTAAGGGACCCCCAAATAAAGTAGCACTTGAAAACCTAGTGCCTACAATACACAGTGCATGATTACATTAAAAGAAGCCTTTTAATGTATATCAATATTCTGTTTGAATATGTATTTATTTTGTGTATCACATGCTTAAACTGCCTACAGAAGCCAGAAGAAGACACTGGCTCTGCTGACCTGGAGTTAGGGACATTGAAGCCAATGAGTGAGTGTTAGGTACTGAACTTGGGTCCTTTGCAGGAACAGGAAGTGACCTTAACCATTGGACCATCTCTCCAGCCTCTAATATCATAGAAAGTTTCCCAGTTGTATGGGAACCACACCCATAGCTGGACAAGATTAACTATAAGGGACAAGGAAAAGCTTTCTGAAACAATAAAAATGTTTTATATTTTAGTAGGCACGATGGCTCACACAATACCAGCACTCAGGAGCCTGGGGCAGGAGAATTATCTTATGTTGGAGGCCAAGCTGAAATACACACTGAGTCTCAGACCACCAGTCTAAGTAAGCTACAGAGTAAGATCCTGTCTTAAAAAAAAAGCTATACATCATTAGTGTTTGTCATATTTGTCAAAATATACACTTAAAACTAGGTGAGCTTACTTCTGTTTTGTTAAATGGACATGTCAAACTATCTCTTACACACGTATTTATATCCACAGACTAGTGATGTGTTCAGACTCGATCTTCTCCTTACCACAAATAGCGGTATATGAAGACTTTCATGGTTAGTCAAGGTCCTCCTGAGCATAACTGATGTCTGAGTGCTTAGCATTAAACACGACACCTAAAATCACTCCTGCCAAGGCTTAGAGAGAAAGGGAAGGACATAAGAGCCAAACGAGGAGGGGAGGGCCGAGAAACACCACCTTATGGGTATGACAGAGCTGCTGTCTTATAAGCATGACATGAAGTCATAATCGTTGTAATCGCCTGCACAGGGCCTGAGCAACACTGAGTCAGTAAACATGCAGTCACAAAGTGGGATGGGGGTTTACGAAGCCCTGCCCTATCAGAGGAGCTAATGGCTGTCAGGACCTGCTAGAGAAGTCATGTCATCAGTGATGTAGCCACTCAGGAGTTATTGGTGCTGGGGTGTAGAGCACCACACCCAGGCCCACCCAACTGGTCCTATAAAAGCCCTGTGGGCCACACAGAAAAACAAAAGACATGAAGTGGGATGGAGACCTGGTGGAAGGAAGGCCTGGACAGGTGAATAAGAGAGTAGAGGGACACATGCGACCAGAATGTATTCTATCCATGCATGAAATTATCAAAGATTAACTTTTTAAAAGTACACTGGTATTTTATGTAAATTTTCTCAGTAAGCAACAAGAAATAATAAAAATAAGCCATAACTTGTATTTTAATTAGTTTTTAATTTTTTTTCAAATTTGTGTCTCCAAAAGAATATTCAATGGGCTACAAATTCCCTTTTTGTTTTATGAGCTTATTAAACCTGAGACTGAGGTTTTTGGGTTGTTTGTTTGTTTTGCTCCTGAGTTATATTATTATATCAGAATGAAAATTTGGGTGTCTTAAGTTACTCAAAATAATAAAGTTAACATGAACTTGTTCTTAGGACATGACTATCATCTAAGTCTTTCAGTTGCTATCACAATTTTAAGAGTCATAAAAAGAAATGGCTAATATCCCTGAACAGGTTAAGAGTTAAGTAATCAAGCTTTCTAAACTTAAATTTATTTAAAATAAGTGGTTTCAAAACTAAGTAAAAACTGAAATTTTCTCAAAAATGGATACCAATGTTTTTAAAGCAAAAATTAAAATGGCTGAAAATTAAAACTACTCTTTTTATATTTGACTAGAATGTGCTTTTTAAAATTCAAAAGAGAATAAAATAAAATTACTAATAGTTTTCTTGCAACCCTGAACTTGTACTTAGCTTTTACTTTATCTTAGAAAATCTATTTAAATTAAAAAAAAAAAAAAAAAACAAATCCTAACAACACTAATATCACTAATGAAATTAATTACTTCCCTAACCCAACCGAGGAGCAGCGCAAACAGGTGCCGGCGACACCGCTCCTCTTGGGCCCGGCTACCAAACACAGCTATGTAAATCAAGTGCGGCTTCTCCACGACTCCAACCACATCTCCCTTCTTGTCGACACGCTTAGCTGGGGACTATTATGCTAGACAGCACACACCAGTATTCCTATCACTGAAGAAAACGTAACAGGTCTAAATGGCTGCTTTCTTTCCCCCCTCCTCCTCACCGACCACTTACTTGGAGAATGCCTGCAACCTCACTGACTGGTAATTCACTTGCTTTCTTTGATGTCAGTACAGGAATCATTGTCTCATTTTCACCATTAGGTATTTTTTGAAAACGTGCAACCTAGGAATAAAAAAAAAAAAAAAAAATTACTTGGATATACCAAACAACTAGAATGTGGTCTAGAATAATAAATGAAAATTCAAATTCACAGCAACTCATTTTCCACTTAAGAAAGTCTGCTCCACTCAGTTATGACTATCTGAGTATCTACGACAACACAATACTAACACTTTTCTTGAAAGCAAATTTCAAAACCACAAACACCTAAGACCAGGTTTAATACAAACTCTTCACATTTCATTTTTTAAAGATGGGAATTCTCCACCAACAAAAGACTCAGAAACCAAAATCAAACAGATGCTTTTCTCTCAGATTCTGATGACTATGCACAATCATAATCCTATAAAGTCCTTACGTTAAATCGAGGGCCAAGAGCGCTAAGCTTTCTCCACTTCAACTGCTCCCATGTTCACTTCTTTTTTTGGAACACGTGACTACAATTCGAAACACCTCGACAGCAAGACTGAAAAGCAATTCTCACACCAGGAGAAAACTGAGAAGCTCAAGAGACCAGACAAGCAGAGGCAGCACAGGTTAGTTGGCGGGTTAGGAACATGCAGAGTAAGTCACAGAAATGGCAGCAATGATGACAGCTATTTCATACACTTTTATAGATATCTATCAATAGTGTTCACCACAACTCTAGAAACAAATACACAATTCAGATTTGCCTTTGGTCCTAAGCCAAGATTCCTTACAGACACAGATCTGAAGGAAAAGAGAGTTCAAGGCTCCTTCCTTGCTACTTAAACTGAGAAAAGCATCCTTTGCCCAACACCAGAGCCACCTGGTGAAATAATACTGAAGCTAAAACATCCCTGCTCCTATTAAGTCATGGGTTTCTAAGCTGAAATTATCAATATATTCAGGACAAAATTTCCTAAAATCTCTAAGTAACTATCCTTTAAAACAAATGTAAGATCAATAAATAATTCATAATTCTATTACTACTAGTATCTATACACTGAACTACTGTATATGTATAAAAATCCTTTTGACTTAGTACAAACATAACCAAAAAGCAAGTAAACAGCCCGGGGGGTGGGGGGGGAGTTGGGAGAGTATCCCAACAGCACGATCATGTTCTGGTGCAAAATACTTCCTTTCTAGTTTCAGTTATTAAAAAAGCATTACTGAATGTTTGCATATTGTGAAGCAAATAGTAATGTTTTACATTTCTAAAAAAGAAATGCTAGTGACAGAATTTCTGAGGACACTGTACATTGCCTTACTCTCCCTGAAATCATTTTGTAGCACAATGTTCTCACATAACTAAGAAATTTAAAGAAACTAAATTTGAAAATTTCCTAGAACCACTGAAATGCCCTGCTTTCAAATTCATAAAACAAACTAACATGGGGCCTTTACTGAACCATCTCGAGATATATATGAAGAAAATGTAATGAGAAACAAAACTATTGCTATTTTACCTTGTAAGATCACAACAAAAATGCCTTAAAGATAATTGTATTCAATATAACAATGAGATTAATATTTGTTTATTTCTGAAATGATTGAACCTTAATCTATTCTTATATAAAACAGAAACAGGAGTATCTAAACAGAGTTGATTAATTCAACAACTATAGCATGTGATCCACAAGCAACAAGAAATCACATGATAGCAGGCTGGAAATATGGCTTAGTGCATGCTTGCCATATACACTAATGACCTGCATTCAATCCTCAGAACCCACAGAAAAGCTGGGTAAAGCAGGGCACACTTACGATCCAAGAACTAGGAAGCAGAAAGGCAGATTCCTCAAGCTAGTCTAAGCAGTGAGTTCCAGACCAGTGAGCCACCCTGCCTCAAAGCAAACTGCACCCAAAGCTGACCTCTGTCAGCACCCACACACACAAACACACATAAAGAATGCATATCACTGTTTTTCTCCTACAAACTAGTCAATTATATGTATTTATTCACTTCTATAATTAGCTCAAGTATGTCAACACACAACTTATCAAGATGGGTTAGACTTACAATGTTTCAGTAAAAATATTTTTCTATCATTAAGCTACTGTCTGGAAATACAGCCCCGTGGTAGGGTGTACGCTGATGCTAAACATGCTTAAGACTCTGGGCTAGGCCCCAGCATGAAAAAGTCATTGAGAATTGCTAACTCCTGCACTCAATACACAGTGTAGGAGCCTTATTCAAATTTTTCAAGAAATCTTTTGACAAATCGTCTATATAAATGGTCTACATTTGAGCACACTTCATTCAGAGCCCTTCAAGGGCATTCCATTGGCCCAAAAGAGCTGAAAGCCTCAAGAAATAATACTTCACATAATAAAGGATAAGACAGTAAGTAAGGGAGTGTGGCAACAACTCTCTAAGCATAGCAAGGGCTGTTTAGAGATGCTCTCCATCTGCAACCACATCTACTGTCTCAAGCATTTCACATTGGAGGGAGAACGAAACTAAAAGCAAACCCTCCAAGCTCGGCCCAGAGTGCTGGATGGAACTTACTGTCATCACCCACTGAGGCAGACAGCAGCAGCTTATCTGAAAATGAGGCAACAATGAGCAAGCAGTAAGGCAAATATATAGGAGCCTCCATGAATGAATGGAGGCTGCCCTTTTGGAAGGAACTGTCTCTAGAAGGCTGCTGACCCTAAACTGCTGAACAGAGGCACCAGTAGAAACATCATAAAACATGCCTGCCCAAGGAGGGAACCACTGAGGGAATTCACTAAAGAAAGACAGCAGCAACCCCATGAAGAGGCATCATCTTGAGCTGCAGAAGTGCTGACTATGCAGGTGGAGAAAGCAGCCATGGGTTTAAGAATGAGACCCATGTCAGGAAGAACTGAAAGCGCTTTATGCTTTTGTTTCACAACTACACAGCCTCGTGTATAAACTGTGTGCTGCGGAGAACAGCTGTCCCCTGGAGGTCTGAGTGCCCCATTCTCTCTTCATCGGGCAAGGCTATCAAATTTCAGCTGCAGTCACAGTCATTTCTATGCAGGTCCCACCTTCCTCTCTCAGATTGCTGCTTTCTCTGTTTACACCATTTCAAAGGAATCTTAGAAGACAATTTTCTTACATCCTGAAATTTGCAGTCAATGTAAGTTTACTCCATCTGTTTTCAACCAGATTCACTTTCCAAACTCATTCTGAGGACCCCAAGTACAAAAGGGAAAATGCTGACCCTGCTTTAGGGATCAAGAAAAAGGGTGATGGACAGAACAATCTGATCTGGAAAGTAAGCAGCCTTTAAAGAGTAGACCCATATGGTTCTTATCAAATCTGTACCTACTTGTGTTTTTATATCCACTATACATACCTGTTTAATGGCAGTCTCTTTATTTCACTGACACAAGAAATACTGAGTAATCAGACTCAGCTACAATGCATTCAGGTATTTACTAGGCTTTTCATAGTAAGAAACTGGGAAGAGACAGGTAAGATATAGAGGCATAAAATAAATTTGGGTTGAAAGTTAATCCCTGTGTTGCTCAAGCTTGTTCTGTGAGTCCAGACATGCAATCTTATCCATGGCATGAATGAATATTCTTAACATTCCTGGGAAATCCTAGTTTCCTGGTTTCAGCCTAGTCTAAGGGACAGAATAGTAGTAATTATTATCTTTAGACAAGGTCTCTCTATGTAGACCAGGCTAGCCTCAAACTCAAGAGATCCCTGCCTCTCCCTCCCAAGTGCTGGGATTAAAGGCATGTGCCACCACACCCAACAACAAGCAGATTTAAAGGATAAAAGGGTATATTGGCAATGCTAACCATCTCTATAAAGAAAAGACGGAGATTAACCATAGAGGTGAAAACTATCTCATTATCCCATATATTAATGCAAACTGAGTCCAGGACACACAGTTTAAAGCATTAGAATCTTCCAGCCAGTCAGGGAACTTTCTAAAAAGCCTGTCTTCATTTGAGAAATTTTACTGTCAGTTTTTAATGTTTGTTCTTTTAAGCATTTACCTTACTTCACCCCAAGAACTTTATAAGTATACACATGCCATTCAAAGTTATGTTTTAACTTACTTACTGCATTGGAGTAAGTGGTTTGCAGTAACAGACTATGCCGTTCTACTAGAAAAAAGAAGGTAGTAGCCTTCAAGTTGTTAGGAGTATAGGAACTGAATTTCCAAGGGAAAGGGTGGAGTCACATCTGTGTTAAGAGTTTCTACAGGGCTGATAGAATAATTACAATTTTCATAACTGTAGAAAGAATGTTACTGCTATAAGTCCCAGTTGTCTTGGCTACATTAGGCCTCTTAATAGCTATTTATTGCCCATCTCTGTTTCTGACTTAACATCTTATGACTACCAGGGAAATCCTTTAAGAATCAACTGACAAGGCACTAATTTTTATCACCCAAAGGCTAAGCCTGTCATCAAATAGGACTAACAGGACAGACTAATAATGTGGATAAGAGAACCTTCACACTATGGTGTGACTGTTAAATGTACAGCTACTACAGAAACAATTCAACAGCTACTGCATATTATTCTTATGTTATTAAGCAAGCATTTGATCTTTCTTAGTTAAATGAAAAGTTATTTCATCTTTTAAAGTCTAAATGGTTTAGTTAGGGTTTAATTTTGAGAATTACAAACGATAAGCAGCTGAAGGTAAATGCATCTTAAGAGATACTGGGGCTGCCACATCTTGTTTAAAGAAGTCCACTCTCTATGGTCTCAGCTGTCAAATATGCTTATACCCTACCTGGTCTTAAACTTATCCTGAAGACTTTAGGGTAGAGCAACCTATCCTCCAGTGACAGAGCCTGCTTTGCAACTGAGGCTCTGATGTAAATCTCCACTGGGAAGTGAGGAAGGGACCTGAGCTTCAATTTACCTTCAATTCCCTCCTCAGAGCCTCCATTTTTAAAACTACTACAATGTGGATCACTAACGCATGCAATAAACCACCCACAAACAAATGCCCACTGGCACAGCCACTCCCTCTGTGCTCTATATCCTACAAAGGTGAATTAATTCAAGAGAACAGTCAAATAATACACACAAACACA